ATCCATATGGACTCCATATGGATTCCACCCTTAAAATGGTATAGAACATATAGAATAGAGTATGGATTCCATGTGGAAAAAGTATGGAATCCATCAGCCATTCCATGGAATCCATCCCCCCCTTCCATGGAATCCATCTGGAATTTCTGCAGTCCACCCCCCATTCCATGGATTCCACATGGAATAACCCGGGGAGGGTAAAGTATTGGTCAACCTCCTCAGGCTTCACCATCTATCATCCCAGCAGCCGGTCCCTATAGCCCCAACAGTGTTTCCCTCTATGGCCAAGGTGACAGTACCTACTATACAAAAGAAAGGAGACACGTGGATGCTGAAGGTGAACATCTCTCCCTATCTGATCATATGATTGTCTAACTTTTGTTTGTTCCCCAGATAGTGACGATGAGTTTGGGACGAAATTATCAGGTGTTACCTACCCACAACCAACTGAATATAGGTACCCTCAAGTACACCCTGATCTTGAAGCATTTCCAAGGTCTATGACTGAGGCTGTCTCGGTGAAACCAGTATGTAATTCTGTGCAATCTATCACTTCACTACTAACTTCCTGGAGACTAAGGCTGTAACACCAGCCACCAACCCCCGCATTCGAAAAGATTGTCCAGTCACCCCTGCGCCGTCAACCACTGTTATTATCAAGCGACCCAAAATGGAAACAAGCAGAACACGAGGGCGTGTTTGCGCTTCCGATTTCGACGAACTGAGCAAATCCCTCCTTGAAGAGTCCATCTCCATCTACCGCACTCAAATCGGGGGTGTCCAACCATATCCTGACTGTCTTGAGGAGCATGATGCCACCACTGCAGCTTGGGTTGAGGCATGTACAGCACGTGGAGTCCGTGTTGAGTTTGACGAGGATATACTCAAATTGGTGCACATGGTTCACAGCCAATCCTTTCTATCTATCTTAACATTCCACAGATGACAGCACGTGCATCCCAAGTGCGTGGCTATCTCAAGACCACTGCTCGACTGCTTGTTGAGGCAGCTTATGGGATCAACCCCAATGCTCGCAAGCACGAGATCAGGAACCTTATCAAAGATCTCCAAACTCGAAATAACTTCTTGTACAAGGTTCGTCAATTTCTTTTTGTTTTTTCTCTTTTACCATCCTTTTGTCTGTAGGACTTGAAGGAACGCAAAGGTATCTACTGCCACCCCGCTTTTCAATCAATCATCAACAAAACCTGGTTCAAAAACAAGAGCGACAATGGTGTTATTCACCCTGAGTTCTCTGAAGGTGGTATGTTGTCAAAGGTGACCAAGGCACTTGCAATCACGGTGGTATGTTCACATTAATCCCTTCAATTGTGGCACCTCCTCATCCCTTTTTGGCAGGTGGAGAATTGCCTTGACGAGTGGCAAACTGGCGAACACGTTGATGTCCCCTTCACTGCGGCAGCATACAAGCCCAAATTCACCACAAACCTCAAGCAACTCATCATGTTTGATGACAAGACAAAGGAGTCTGACATCGTTCCCCGCCTCCTCAAGCATATGTTGAAAATGGCCAGGTATGTTATCGTTGCACAAGCTGTTCCCCGTCCTCATCCACATCTCTTTCAGGAAACACGCCAAAGTCACTGATGCCCTGGAGGTGGCACAGGCCATTCAATTCACTGAAGATGATGTTGAGGCAGCTAAGAAAGAATGGGAATCCATGGTGTTTTCTGATGATGAGTAGTGTCAAAGTAGCGTATCAATTACTAGTAATTGCAATCTAGCCCAGTATATACCCATATACCATATGGCCAACCTGAATACTATTGTTTTTAGACTTTCTATATGGAACTATGTGACCTAACAGACTATTGGGGTTTTGTCCTATCATCAAATATGGCAACCTAAGTAATGTTGGTGGCATCTACAGTGACCAGTATAGTAGGGGGGTACCTAAATACCTACAGCTTCTACATAGGCTATGTAGACCTACATAGGTCTTAAATTTTTTCCTGATGTTGGAAGATTGAGGGCCATGACATTTGTTGGCTCAAGACCATCGCTATTGAGCTTCTCGCTCTTTTCCTGGAGTCTAGAGGTCTTTGGGATACTCACTTGCTTGTACATTCTGATAACCAAGGTACCATCAGTGCTCTTGATAAAGGCCGCAGTGGGAACATCTACCTCAATCTTGCTGTTCATCGCACACATCTCATCCTCATGTCCATGTCTTGTCTTTAAAACTATTTATATTGAGTCTGAGGCTAATCCAGCTGATCCTATCTTGCATGGGGAACCAGGACCTGCTGGAAAGCAAATGTTTCCATCTTTTAAGCTCCCTGATGAGCTATCTTCCTGTTTTCTTCATGCCTACAGTTGCGGACAAACAAAGTCATCAAATTTGATAACTTGAGAACCAGAATTTTTATCAAAATTCTGACTTCAGATTCAGATTCAGAGACCTCGAAACTGTTCAAAAAAGGTGTTCCCTTAATTTTCCCACGTGTTTTTGGTTTGGCCAAATTTTTGGGTGTTTTCAACGCACCCAAAAGTCTTCTGAGTCAGCCATCTTTGGATCAATTCTGTGCAATTTATAACCCTGGTGCAGTAGATGCGTGAAAAAATGAACCAGGGTCCATTTATATCTTTTTCCGGGGCACCTTGACCGGAAAGGGTATGCCCACATGACAGTTTTAGCAAAATTCCCACCATCAAGACATCAATATTTCAGGGAGACTTTGATAAAATCAAAGAGAGGAAACAAAAAGGAGTCGATTGGCATATTTTTCGTATTTTTAGCTATTTTTTCAGGCACTGGCCAAATTTTTGGGGTATAAAACCCTTATATCGTCATTTCTGGGAATTCTGCTCGTTGGAATTGATCAAGGAGATCAATAGGAACCCATTTATACCATTATCTACCAATTCTGATGTTTTTCGGAGTCCCAAAAAATAGGTCAATAAATTTGTTGACTTTGTTTGTCCGCAACTGTAAGTTAGCCTTCTTTCACTTTGCAGCAATCTCTCCTCTATCATCCTAATGTTCTTTCTTCAGCTTAGGTCATCCTTTTAAACCAGTGACGTGTGTCGTCAAGACGACTGTGGGTGGTTCACCTCTTGTTCCTCTGTGTCCCACATCTCGTCATATTCTCTTCACTCCTTTCCAACCCCGCTCTACCATACCTACTCCCTCACCTGCACCTCTGTCAACATCACTTTCTACAACTCTTCCACCACCTCCCTTGCCTAATCCTGATATCTTATCACCTTCATCCTGTCTCATCAAACCGAGGAAGCCTCATACAGGGCGCCAAATAGTGTTTAAAGGTTCAGTCCATAGGACTGCAAAAAAACGGTGGACTGAACTGAACCGGTCCATGGTCCAGTCTTTTTTTCGGTTGCAGTTGCCCCAATTTGGGGTTGGTCCAGTTGCCAGTTGCCTCATTTCGAAAATCTTTTAAAACTGTTCAAAGACTGGTTTTAATCGGTTGCAACTGGTTAAATGGTCATGTGTGTTACATACCCTTGTAACCACATTTATTACCTTTTATTGGGTTTTTGTTTCATCAAAAACAGTTAAGAATTGAGAAAGATATAACCAAATCCATATTTTACCTGAGTCTCTAGGAGATGTAATTCGGTTTCAGTCATAGCTATGTCAAATCTTCATTAAATCTCTTAAAATTTGGTAGAATGATGGGTATTTACATGCTTTACTATTTTATATAACCTGTTTATTTTTCAGAGTAATAATAGTTGAGATACAAATGGTTTATATTGGTATAATAAGTTATATGCAAAAAAACCTGTCTGGATCGGTCTGAACCAGCTCCATAGACTACAAAAGACTGGTCCTAGGTGGTTTGGTTTGGTTCCCTCAATATCTGGGTCGGTCCTAGACTGGTTGCAGTCCACGGTTGCGCATTTTGGGGGCAAAAAACCAGACTGAACTGAACTTGTGAACACTAGCGCCAAATCTCTCCAAACTCTCTACATCCTCATGTTGCTGCTGCAGATCACTTACTTGCCTGGGAGACACCTCACACTGCTCATCACAGAGAGCACCTCATCAACTCTCTTCCCTCAGACTTGGTCAATAGCGCCATGATGTCCATCTGTGGTGCATACACGCCTAACACTAAGACCACATATGCTGCTGGTACCTTGTGCTTTACCCAATTTTGTGATAGATGGGGTATCAATGAGGAAGCATGTATGCCTGCTTCCTATCCCCTCCTTTGTGCCTTTATTGGTAGTGCTTGGAAGTCCGGTTTTTTGCCTTTTTGGTCAGTTTTGCTGCTAGCATGTTGCCATTAAAATTCCCCAATGAATCTGGGGCACCAGAAAAGGAAATTTTTCCGGTCTTAGACCGGAAAAAAGACTGGACTGACCCTGAAATTTTGTGTTCGTAAACCCCAATTGTGGCAGGGAATTTTTATGGCAATGTTCTAGCTCAAAAAAAGGGTTGAAAAACCGAAAAACCGGACTTCCAAGCACTATTTATTGGTGAGTACAAAGGTAGACAAGCCAGAAACACTATCTGCTCCTGGCTCTCCGGCATCCGCACATCGCATGTTGTTAATCACGCGCCTTGGTTTGGAGATGATGAATGGGTTCAACTAGCCCATGTATCTGCGAACAAGGAGGGAACTAAGCATAAACACCCTCTGCATGCTCCCATTTCCATTGAGCACCTGTTGGCTCTGCACTGTGCTCTTAATCTCTCTACTCCCTTCCATGCTGTGGTTTGGGCTCTTGCCTTGTGTACCTTTTTCAGTTGTCGATGGCTAGGTGAGCTAGCTGTCACCACTGCCGCTGCATTCAATGAAAAATATCATGTTCTTTGCTCTGTTATGTGTGTCATTTATTTCATCTTCTATATTTAATCCTAATGTTCCTGAAGGATTACTTTTCGTACCATGTGTGATGGCTCCTCCTCTGCAAATTTCCGCATTCCTTGGACTAAGACCACAAAGGAACTTGGCGCCTCTGTCATCCTCACTGCACAGAACAATGCTCTCTGTCCTGTAACCACCTTGAAGAATCATCTCCTCGTTAACTCATCCGTCAATGAATCTGCTCCTCTTTTTGCATACACAACTACCTCCTCTCAATCAAAGACTCTCCTCAAACACAAATTTCTGAGTTTCTGCACTCAGATCTGGTCATCTGCCATGCTTGTACATGTTCTTGGTCACAGCTTTCGCATTGGCAGTGCTGTCAAACTTCTACTGGCAGGTGTACCACCTGAAATCGTAGCCACAACAGGTGGCTGGACCTCTCTAGCCTTCCTGCTCTACTGGTGCCAGATGGAGGAGATCTTGCCAATGAGCACTTCAAAAGCATACAACAAATCACATACCGACATGTTGGCCACAATCTTCGAACAATTTCGTATTAACAACAAAATCCCTCTGGCACTCATCATTGCCTCTAATGGGAACCTCTCCTTGTAATCATCTATTCTCACTTGTCTTGTATTTGTATCAATCTACCTTAAAATTCTCTTCCAGAGTTTATTATTCTGCTGATGTATCTGCTATTACTATACTTTCTATAAAATTCTCTCCAGAGTGACGCTTCTTTGGGTAGTTCCTCTATGCTGAACCAACCTGCTTGTTGTGAGCTTACACTCTGGTTGGTATAGCTGGTTGGTTTTGCACAGCTTTCCAGACGCTCAGGTCTTGCCTGTCTTCTCAGATCCTACCACTATTATTCAGATCTGACTTGAGCAAGCCAGGCAAGTCCTAGGCACACACAAGTTATCCGTGTTCATGGATTTCTTGTATTTAAATACTTCTGACCTATATTCTATAGGACACTAGAGTTGAACTGTGAACAAATTAGGCATCTTTCACATGTGACATCTTGCTTGAGTCACATGATTACTAATACTAATTCTGCACCTTCAACATGTATCTTGCCTATTACTGCACCAATTTTCGTTTTCCAGCATGCAAAGTAACACTCAAAAAATAGGCTGTTGCAGAGGTACTCATATTGAGGAAGAGCATAAGGCAGGAGATGTCAGATCACAAACAAAAATCAAATGGAAGAAACATCTGTATCCCTCAATGGTGTCTGGTTCTCACCTACTCAGGATTTAAATTTTGAAGCTATGGCTCCCTGGTCATCAGGAAAGGCCAACTAAGCTTTTTTTTAATAAAATGCATGAGCACTTTGAATTTTTTACCATAAATCAACTGAAAAAAGTGGGAAGATGAATAGATAAAAGGATGAAAATTTAGGAGAGGATTCAAGCACCAAGCTATGCTGCAGAGTCCTTGAACCATTTTTGTACATCTATAATGAGAGCATGGGGAATCAACATCACTAACAGCCCTTGGGAAAGAAAGCTTGGAGAAAAGTAAATATGTCTGCACTTTCAGCCACAGCTATTGCATCAATTTCCTTCACGTCCATGTCCTCAGGCATGGTTATAAATGCTGAGTAAAACCTCCAAATTTACACCCAGAGGAGCCTTCAGCAGAGAATTTCTCCTATTTCTTTTGGCCAAAAAGCATCAAGGAACTTTTTACAGGGGAAAGCACTACTAGAATCATCCAGATCTACTTCAGAAAAAAGGAGGTGCATGGTCTGCTTTGATTCTGCAAGAGAGGATAGAATATATGCATGTGCAGGAAGGGGTGGAAGGGGAAAATGTCAATCACCTTGCTTGTCAAGGTCTCCCAAGGTCATAAATACCAAACAGGTACAAACAAACTACCCAGGGCTATGTAGCGCTATAGCTCTTGAACACTGTTTCCTTTGTTGCGAAAAAAAAGTTGCATCGTATCAAGGGGGTGCCGGCATCGAAAAAAAAGACCCAGGGTCGATTTTTTTGTTAAGGCAACTTGAGGTGGACTAACTGACTAATGTAATCAGGCACATGTCCAAATATGGTAATATTAGTAATATTTTTACATCACACTTGCCTCCTTGTCCTTGTGCAGACTCCCTACACACCGCGCAAACCCATATTGAGGTGCCTGTTCAACCCATAGTAGTAGGTAAGGTTGGGCAGAATACTGTGGAATTGCATACCCATCAAGTTTCACAGCCATTCTTTCTACACAGCAGTGCATTCATGGTGCAATTTGGCCAATTTGACAGATAAAATTGTTTATCATTAAAGTAACCTATTTACCCTTTACACAAAGTGTTGAACCTGAATGTAGGTGATGCAATAGGGTAAGTAAGAGCTGCTGGAAGTCCTTTGGATGCAGAAAATTGAGAACAGGGGTTCGGGATGTGACCAAAAATGTCACATTGCAACACAACCAAATAGCACTCATGAAAATTAGTTGTGCACACTTGGTGAACAGCAAAGCAAGCAGCTATATGGTAGTATGTGACATAAGGACACTTAATGCAAGTCAATATGAGGTTCTGAAGCAATCCTCAGCTCTAGTTGTCGAGACCTCCATTTTTTTTTTTTTCAGACCATCAGCTGGACTAACTAACCGGGTATAGGTCCGGCATTCTATTGCCGGAGCCCCCTTGCATCGTATTGGTGCAAAGCAGTGTATTTGTCAGCAAGCAAGGTGCCTGCTGCAGCTGCTAAGTGTCAGCCTCTAGTTTTCATGAATATTCTTTCCCAAGTTATTGGTTTGGGCTGTATGCACACATTCTGGTGTTTATAAATTTCTACATGGTGGTGTGAGATTTTTGGTGCATAAACAAGAAGTCAGAGCAAATATATTTTTGAAAAAACAAATTGCAGTCATCAGTAATTGAACTGGAGACCTCACTATACATTAGTAGCCTTGATCGAATCTTTCCGTTGAGCTAAGCCACTCCTTTAAATAATGTAAATCCGAGGGATTCCTTGACTAACAAGGAATCATATTCCAAAGTGAACATATGGTACCCATGCATGGAGAGCATGCTCTGAATCGCCCAGCCTCTCTCGCATACGTTCAGATGCGTGATGAAGCGCATACGCTGCGTGAACACTCATTGTTCCCTCCCATTTTCCAGATTCCGGGCTGTGGCTCAGAAGATTACTGTAGAAATCTTTTGCAATACCCACAGCCTTCTCATCGTTTATCGACCACATTGTAGCAACCACACCTCGATATCCTGCCACCAACATTCCCCCAGCCAGATGAACCGCCTCCTCTGGCAGTTCTTCGTCGCCCGTACTCGTTTGACAGGCTGACAAGAACGCCAGATCAGCATGCGGATTTTGGATTTTGATAATATCAGAGAGCTCGAGCCACCCATCACGCATAGCAAATCCACTCTGCAGGGGCTGGCTGGTATGCTGGATCCCGTGGCATGCAAGGTGAATCGAGTTATGGATCCCCATGTCGTCTCTCACTCTGACAACCGTCGCTGCTTCATTCTCCACCCGAATAGCATGCACTCCATGGCTGCTCAGTACCTTCCAAATTGCTTCTATTTCGGTTGCAGTTCCAGGAATCGGACGAAGAGGAGCTTGCGCGATGGGTTGACCGATGAGCAAGAAGCTGCTGGTTGTTGCGCTTTCTGTGGTGGGTTTCTTGATTACTTGCTCAATAAGTGCGGTAACTGTTGGGGTGTAGGACGAGACGGCGAAGTCGGAAAGGCATTCACTGTGCTCTTTATCCTGGCCATAGATTCCAGCAGCATGGATAGGCAGGAAGGCAAGCGGACCAGTTGAGCACCACCAAATGCGGGAATGATGTGCAGTATGAGACTTTATTGAAAGAATGGGTATTGGATAGTGAGTATCCTTTATCAGAAATGGGAGATTTCCACGTACCGAAATGTCAAGTTTGGTAAGAACAGGTTTAACGATGTAGAACCACAATTCACTCAGGATTTTACGAAGGATTTGACGCTTGGGGCGTACTGGTCGTGGCTTACGTAGCTCCACTTCCTCATCCTCTCGCGAACGAGTTTGATTCAGGAGGCCCTTCCAATCATTTGATCTGGCGTAAGAGAGGTTATGGAGTGGAATGTGGATGGCACTTTCAACACCAGGGAGAAGCGCGATGGCGTCACTCCGGGTCGCGTGGGCATTGATGATGATGACGGAGCCTGTTTTGGGTACACCCTCAAGGAGAGATGATATACTTGGCGGTTGAAGAAAGTAATGAAACCCCTTGATACTGCGGATCTCATGGAGGAGTTCTTCCCATCTGCGTGCAAGTTCGATGTGTTTCTTAACTTCATCCTGAAGGGACATTTTATTCCGCATACTGTCTTCAATATCAGGAATTCGTGATTCTGTACGAGAACCTGATTTTTCCAATGCCCTTGATACCACTGAGAAGTCATCGGCTAGCACTGAGTCATGGTCACGCAGATCACCCAGAGGAGTCCGAAGATTGTTGATTTGGGACCACACCAGACAGCGACCCTGTTCGAGCCACTCTACAGCGGTTTCGTGTCGTCCAAATAACAGGGCAGCAGCAGCAGCTGTAGTTGATAAATCGGAGATATTCAGGAAAAGGTTTAAGTGGCGTATCCGTATAGTTTGTTCGAGCCCTGCAACCTGAGACGCAAGACGAATGGCAGTCGAGAATGCGGCCATTACCTCCGGCTCTGATGGGTTCACCTTCAAGGCCCATGTCGCCCATTGTTTGGCAGCAATGAGGCGTATGGAAGGTGGTCCTGAGATGCCATTAGCAGATTGTCGATAATTGGAAATGGCTTCCTCTAGATCTGAATGATCTCCTCTCTGTTCAAACCGGCTCAAAAATGAATCTGCAAGAGATGTCAGTAAACTCGGCATGAGTGCGTGGTGCACTGGTGTGCATTGTATGGCTCTCTTCTGTGCTGAGATCGCCTCGGATATGGTGTCCCCATCTTTAGTGGATTTAAAGCGAAGAATGAGAGATTTCCCAAGGTTGAAGAGGAAAGAGGGTAGGTACGGATGGGAATCAGGAGTGAGATTGACAGCCTGCTTTAAGGCTGATATCGACTTGGAAATATCTTCAGGGTCAGCCGTCTGTTCGAAGCGAAGCTTGAATGCAACTCCAAGATTGGTCAGCCATACCGGGAGGTTTGTGTTGTCTTTCGAAGTGGAGTCAACCGCTCTTTTGTGGGCTGATATCGAATCTGAAATATCTTTGAGATCTTTGGTATGTTCAAAACGACCAGAAAGGGAAGTGCCAAGGGTGTTAAGCAGGACTGGCATAGCAGCATGGTCTTCTGGAATGAGGTGGATTGCTCGCTGTTGGGTTACAATCGCGTTGGAAATATCTGCAAGTTCCCCCGTGTGTTCAGATTTTACCAGGAATGCAGTTGCGAGATTATTCAGCCGGGTTGGCATCTTTGGGTTTTGTTCTTCAGTCAGGGAAATGGATTCTTGTAGGACGGTTATTGCTTCGCAGATGTCAAGAAGGTCTCCCGACTCTTCGAAGCGCTGTCTGAATGAAATTCCCAAATTGTTCAAAGAGTTTGGCCGTTCTGGAGCAGATATGAGGGATACAGCCTTTTGGTGACAAGATATGGCCATAGATATATTGCTGATATTTCCTGTGTGTTTGAAGGAACCCCAAAGTGCCATCCCGAGGTTATTGCACACTTTCGGCGCGAGTTCATGTCCTTCTGGTACCAGTCGCAAGGCCTCCGTCAAAGCCGATGTTGCGTCTTCAATGTCGAGACGATTTCCTGTGCGTTCGAAGCGCAGCATGAGCGAAGTCCCAAGGGTATTAAGCAGAATGGGCCTGTCTTTGTGGCCAGCGAAGGTGAGATCCACTGCCTTCTGGTGTAACGAAACTGCTTTTGAAATATCGCTGACAACCCCTTTGCGCTCAAAGCGGCAAAGATACGAACTACCGAGGTTGCTGAGCCTACCAGGTAAGGTTTCATCACCACCAGGAGTTAGGCGCACCCCTCTCTCCTGCTGTAGTATTGCTTCTGAGATATCACGAAGATTCCCTTCATGCTCAAAGCGCCGCATCAATGATTCTCCCAGGTCATTCAGCGTGTATGGTAAGATTTCATCGTCATCCGACTGGAGTTGTACGGCTTTCTCTTGGGCGGATATTGCTTTAGATAAATCCAGGAGGTCTTGGGTGAGGGAAAAGCGCGACATATATGAAGCCCCGAGGACAGTCAGTAGGGAAGGCATGTCCTCCCCGCCCTCAGGTGTTAGATCGACTGCCCTTTCCCGGGCAGAAATGGATCCAGAAATGTCTGAGAGGTCCCTCGTGCATTCGAAGCAGGTTAAAAATGAGATCCCAAGGTTGATCAGCCTCCCGGGAAGGTTAGGATCCCCCTTAGGCGTACGAGCGACCAGCCGGTTCTCGACAGAGATGGCCTTGGAAATATCAGCAAGGTCTCCCGTGTGTTCGAAGCGACGAGATAATAACATTCCAACGTCAGTCAAGAGAGGAAGCATTCCCGTAAAGTCGTCATCGGGACTTTCGCTTTGAGCTGCTTCTGGATCATAGTCATCAAGCATTTCTACGTGTGTCACTGTGTTGGTTCGAAATCGCGGCCTCGTACAGTAGGAAGACGTACCCTGAGAGGCTTCATCATGATCGTCTAGTGGTTCTATCCCCACGATCGTACAGACGTCAAATTTCACTGTGAAAGTTGGGGTGTCTATGTCCGCGATGAACTCTCGGCTCGAGCCTGAGGACATTTCAAGCCCAGATTAACAACAATTGTATGCGCGGATATCGCGAAGACATCCTCACCAGTGTCTTCTCTTGTTATCGAGTGATAAACCACTGTACGCCCCTCAGATTCTGACTCCCAGAAAGCGATCATAATGAGTTCTTCTCCACACTCCGGCCTTTTTTGGTATATTTGTGAGGATTCGTGGAAATAGATAGGAGAGTCGTGTAGGGCATGGACTCACATCTTCACAAGCTCATCATAACGCCATAATGTTGCAGACATCCTTTCCAAAGGCAACCCGGCGCCCATCTCCTGGTGACGATCGAAGACTACAAGGTTCAAGTCATCGGGAGGATCATGCACGGTGGTGTTGGGCTTATATTCAAGCACGATCCCTTGAAGGGACCCAGGTTAAAGAGGAAATTTCGAAGTTTCCGAGTTAATTACCTGCAATAAAAAATTCACTGCTAAGCTTTCGTTAGGTACCATTGCGGATCGCCCAAGCGAGATAAAACGGACCTCTCGATGGGCGGGATTGAAGACATCGTTGGTGAGTTTGTGACCTCCAATGGCGGGGAGCTGGAATGTTGATCAGCAGGAGCTTCGCGCGGGTGAAGAAGCGATACTAACTTCAAAGATACTATATTGTCATCCATCGAGTTCTTGTCGAGTGTAAGGATTCGTTACAGAGCGCTTAAGTTGGCGAAGCGAGCTCTAGATGTTGAAAATAATAAATAATATTTTTCAATTTGTGTCCTGCTCTTTCGTCACCTTCGCTGTCAGTTGTTGTTCACTACTGCGTTCATTTCGACAAAATGGACATGGAACATGAATTCGAAGTCATCACAATGGATGATGATATTTCCGACACGCAATCTCCAGCAGAGGTGTGGGATGTTGAAGCCAAGTCTGATTGTAGCTGTAAATCCGACACATCTGACCACACCCCAGCGTGCGTAACGCCTTTTCATATCTATCTATTCTTCTCCTCACACCGAAACTTCAGTGCCTCAGAGGCGATTGAACATATCGAAGAGATGGTGTTGTCATTTCTTACGCAGCTGGTCTTGCCTCAGCGTGCGGACAATCCTGCAAGTTCTGAAGACAACTGCCAAAAACCCCGTTCGAAGTTGAAGCAGGACGATAAGGTGAAGCCCAAGGTCGAGATCATGCTCGTCGATAGGAAGAGGAATACTATTGAAGGGTATGCAGCATTCCTTAACCTTCGACGCAGGGTCAAAATCTTCAACCTTCAGTACCACCTCCTACAAGTGTATCCGATATCCGAAAAAATCTACAACTGGAAGCGCCAGACCCCTAGGTAGGTCAATATATGCATGTTGAATAACGATTTACCGTGATTTTCCAGCACAACTCATGAGATTACTCGACCTCACACATGAAGCCATTTTGGACGGTTTACCTGCGACCAAGAGGTTTGCACTCCGCGCTAATTCCCTCATCTGTCCTGAAGAGTTTCTCAGAGATATCTTCTACAAGGACGTTGCACTATTCAAAACGCAAAAAGTGGTGGACAACGTGTGTACCACCACAATAAATGCATCTATCAACTCTGATATGTGCACCCATAGTTGGTTGACGATCTCGCGGCAACGTTTCAGATTGAACGCTCTGATTTGAATATTGTAAGTCGATGGACTCGCTTTAAACGAATGAGAACCTTCACCCTGTTTTTAGCGTGCTTCAACCAAAGGACTCATATCTGGAGCAGGGCTCACAATCCAACTCTTAAGCGGCGAAGTCATCCAACTGATCGACACGGAAGTAATGCAGCTTTGATCAACGATAAATCCTCAATTCTGAGTCAAGATAGGGCTCCATAATACCAGCTGGGGAAGACATTGAGTCGTTTAGTGTGGACGAAGATGTGGCTTGGGTTCTCATTGTAGAGAAGGAGGTAAGGAAAGAGGAAGTTTGCTCAACCTGACAACTTACTTGGTCTATGAAAGGCTGTCTTTCAGACGCTGTGTCGCTTGGGAATAACTGATGGTCGGTCCTTGCCAGGTCGTGGCCTGCTCCTCACGGCACGTCGTAGTCTTGAATTCCGCAGTTGATTCGATTGTTTATTCTCGATTATTTCAGGGAAAGGGCTATCCCGATGTAGCGACAAGACATCTCGTGAAGTCTCTCGCCGATGCACTGCCACGAACGTGAAAATTATGCAATCTCTCTGGAATTCTTTGTTCACATTTCTCGAGCAGAATACCTATTATGGCTTTGGTCGATGGCGATCCGTATGGACTTGATATTCTATCCGTTTACAAGTACGGAAGTCTCAGCATGCAGCATGAATCTGGCAAACTAGCAACCAAGCGTATCAAGTGGCTGGGAATATGGGCCAGCGAGTTGGAAACGTCTGATGCCTGCGTCGATCTTTCCTTCGCTTTTTTACTGATGTTCGGTGTTGCTTTAGTCTGGGTATTGACAGGGATAATCTCCTTCCAATCAGCAAACACGATGAAAAGAAGGTCGGAGACTTTGCTCGTCATCCTATGTTCACGTCTTCTTATCAGGTCTAGGCATTATCCATGCTCCTCCGACCGACCTCTCAACTGCCTGAGAAATGGAAGTCCGTATGCTTGGTAAAAGAATGTCACCCTGTCTTCTTTATTAATGAATCTCTAGGAAAGAGCTTGTCCACATGTTACACAGCCGTAGAAAGGCAGAGATCGAGATACTATCCAACGTGCCGAATTTACGGTTCGCGGAAACCTTCCAGAGGAATTCTTCCGAAGACAAATGGCTCTGTTCAACCGAAGCATACGATGTACTCTTGAAACGCACTCATTTCCCAAACTCGTCGAACGCTTCGTCATCGCTGGTTCAGACCATTGGTTCTCCCTCTACCTTATCTCGCGTTGCTCTCTCTGTTGGCTCGTCTACTCCTCCAAACTCACATGGTCAAAATTTGGCAGCGTCTCGATTACCGGTCTTACGTTACTTGAACTCCAAGATTTCACAGATAATGGTTTCTTCTCTGGCTCGCTCGCACCGCTTTGTCGCTTGATACCGTCTCACTTGCCTACCTATCTGGTAGATTTCATGGTCAACCTATCGTTCACACCCTACGCAGAAAGCCATGCTATCTTCACACTGCTCAACACACTAAGGTAAACACTGCAGATTGGAATGTATAAGTTATTGTCCTTAATAATAGATGAGTATCGAAAAGATGTGATAAGATGAGGGGTGGATGCGTCTCTTGGGTGGATGTGTGAGGTATATATGGAAATGCGTAGTAAAGACATCACATATTCAAACTGGTGAATAACCTGGAGGTGCCACAAGCAAAGAAGACCCATTTTCGTGCTCTGCCTCAAGTGCTTTCTGATGAGCAGTCATTAGAAGAAGCGATGTTGATTGATGTGAGGGCGGTATCGCGGACCAGCTATCATTTTGATAGAATGCGGAAACTCTTGCGTTCAAGTTGCCTGAGTCTTCGTTCACCAAGGCCGTTGTGGATTCGTATGGAGATTGGAGAGTGTCAGCGCTGTATACTGATGCGCTGTCGGCTGGGGAATTCTGCCGTTGTATGGGGCTTCGCGGAACATCCAACTGTGTGTCGTTGTAGGTGATCACTGATACCGTCACAGCAGGTCTTGAAGATGTTTTGCTGGAAAATAGACTCTTTGTGTCATCTTGACTTTGGCCTTTTCGTGGGTAACGAGGGGTCATAAAGGAGGGCGGCGACAACAATGTGGGGCTGGATATCAAGGGGCGTGATTGAGTGCTGGATTCCTGAGATGATTTCGTGAAGCTAGTGGGCAACGCTGAGAGGACGACGCCATGGGGCTTTTTTCGAGCACGTCGGCATCGTTGACGGAATGCTGCGAGCAGCAGTAATACGAGAGTAGCTACAATAACTTCGGAGAGGTCAGTGTGAAGTCGACGAATAACACATCCGGGCCTTACTTGATCCCAGAATGATTCCGACCAGACCACCAATCCCCACAACGTTCAAAAATGATTTATTTTGTGTCGTGGACGAGGCGGTCGCGGACGAAACTAATAATGCGCTGCTACTGCTCGTATGGGAGCTGGAGGTCTGTGAGCTGGAGGTCTGAGAGCTGGAGGTCTGAGAGCTAGAGGTCTGAGAGCTAGTTGGAATGCCAGTGCTGGACGTGGCTGGTGCGTTATTAGCAGTGGGCGTCGTTGGCGCGTTATTGGGTCCATTGTTAGCTCCTTGGTTGGCTCCTGGCCCACCCCCCCTAAAGTATGGTGAGATCATCATTGCCGAGGTTAGGAAAGCAACTAACTGTTGCATCTGCCCAGCGCACTCTTGGACATAGAAAAGAAAAAGAACTCCAGCTGCACTGACTTGAGTTCCATAGCGGGAGAGGATTGGGAAGACCATTGCAGCCTCGAAAAGAAAGTGAGAATCTTGGTAAAGTGTACATTGCCTTGATAAAATGCTGCTGCGGAGGGCGAGTTGATGAGATATCGCCACAGGTATTTTCTACTGCCCGCGAATGGGAGAAAAGAGAAGCGTTTCATAATTTGTTGTTGAATTGTGCGTGCTCCGCAGCCGAATACGCCGGTTTCTATCGATTCAAGGATGAAGAGTGTCCTCCAGAGAGCCTACATAAATCCCGACAGAAACGGTCGCCCCGATGGTCGTTCATTCACAAAGTTTTTCCTCATAGCCATTGAGACCATGCTGAAAGTAAACAAAAATCCGTTGGCTGAGAATCGATGACACCGGTGCCTCGGTAAGTGGAGTCCTCAAAGGCTCAAACGTTTCGTCTAACGTAGTCGGCCAAAACTACCCGCGACGGAAAAAAAAACTTACGGGTGCGAGAATTCCTTGTGTGAGATCTTGCATAAATAGAAAGTCGATGTCCCGATGCAGGGTAACGGTGATGGACTGCGGTTGAAATTCATATAGACCCAATAAACCCAAAGATAAAGCATACAAATATCGGAATCGACAAGCGATGTGGAGGAATTGTAATCATGGATAACTATAGTGTGAGGATGTTTTGAAGGAGCCTGGACGATGCTCAACATAACCCTTCCTGACAAAGTCTATCCTCGAACAGGATTCGGTTCTCCGTTTACGAGAATGGTGCCAACTCCCGGGCATCGAGGCCCAATAATTCTGAGCATTGAATCTGGGAGACGAAGTGGAACGCCAACAGGGCCATACTCGGTACTCAAAGACAGGCGTTTGATGGCTGGAAAAAGCGCTAACCACGCAAGGATGTATTCCAGTCGCTGTCCTGCCATGAGTTGGTCTGGTGTGGCGGGTACATCAAGGGATAGACCAGAGACAGCCTGGAAGAGTGTTTCCCAGCCAGGGCGTGTCAAAAGCCCGTTGTCAGCCTCTACTGGAAATTCGTAGTACAACTTGAAGTGTAGAGAGATAGATGGTTTTACGTTCATCTCCGCGAATCGCTGGCGAAGACGGGATAGTGTCTCTGCGACTGAGCGTAACCCAGCCGTGTTGCGATAAACACGGTTGACAATGATGTCAACTGATAAAAGATTTGGGCAGGAGACGGAGTAATTGAGAATGTACCACACTTGTTCTGGACTTCCTGAGATAGAAAGCAGGTGGTTGAGGATTGGTTGATCGTTCCGCCCCAGCGGATAATAATGACCTTCTTTAGTTGGACCAAGGCTAACTTTTCGAAGCAAAGGCAGCTGGGAAAGGAATACGAGGATAGTTGGTAGCAAGCCCTCTGAGATATGAGGTAATGATAGCTCATGGAGTTGAGGTAGGGCCTGAGATATGCGAGGAAGGATGGCGAGACGCCACTGAGTGATGGGTATGAAGCAAGGCAGCGAGAGAGTAAGTGACGTGATAGGAGAATGTTCCATGAGAGCGTATGTCCACCCAGCACAGGGTGGTAAAAGCAAAAAAGCTGAAGTGATCGACAACGTCGTCAATCTATTGGTGAACGATGGGTTTGGCGCCCATTTAATGAGAGGAAAGCCTGTTCCGTTTCGCAGGTAATACCAGCGATCTCCATGCAGTTGGTTATTGTTGGGGCAGAAATTTTGCACCAAAGTTCGCCTCATCGTCGTCCAAAACAATTCCTTCCAAGTTTCGACTATCTCAAAGGTATAACTCCTTCCAAACAATGTTCCTCCATGTAATATCTGCAATGAAGTGCAAGACTTCGATCCAATTGTGTTAAATAAGTCTTGAAGGGAGTGCACTAAATCCTTCATAATCGTGTCGTTCAAAGACCAATTGACATTGATCATCCCAAATGTTATGACGATCTCCTCGATAGAAGATAGTCTTGCGATGAACTTCTGAAGGCGGCGAATGCTTCGGGTGGAAAATGGGACCAAGCCCACGGTAGATGGGTATAATGCGCTGTCATCAAACTTGCATGAAAGGCGACGTAGCTTGTGGATGTATGTTGCAACAAAGAGCCCAGAGAGGGCATCTGGATAGCTCCCGTGACGAAGTATGATCTCGCAGCTGGATCGAGGGTCCACGACGCCGTGATGTTCCAGGAGGATGGGTATACAAAGGTGATTTAGTGGCCTGCAGGCTTTTGCGAGTTGAAGCAGTGCCCAGTGGGGAAGCTGGCGAAGAATGATTAGGAGAAGTTCCATGGGAAGATTCAGTAGCGCCGACTGCGAATGCAAAGGCATAATCATGGTGTGCCCCCACATCCTGCGCTCAGCGTAGGGCGTAGGTTGGGCGTACGATACCGCTCGTTAGAAGGTCGTGATGGTCGTGATAAGGATTCCTCTTGATTCGTGACTGAGATATGGACACCCCGAACAGGGGCTGCTCTGATGAGTCATCTGCTCTCAGTCTCTTGCCCAGACTTCGGGCTTCTGTAAAGAATACTCGTGGTCAGCATGTGCCAAGCAAAATTCTTATCTGAACTTGATCGACCTGGTCTGGAGTCAGTGTGGGCAATGCGCGACGTCTTGTGCTGCCTGCTCATAATTGCACGATTGGCCAAAATGCTGCACGACAAGCGCTTCTCGCGAATAGGTCAAACATTGTGGTGGTCCTCAAGGTTTCCTAGCCTCTAGGCGGTCTATCTGATTACACGATCACCACACCGGCTGTCACAGTTACCGATAGCCGACGAAGGTGAGCGATGAATGTCGCAATGTCGAGCTTTTTACAGACAAGAACGCTGATTTCTTCATAAAATACGTGAAAATAACTCAACCAGTCCATATGAACGGCATCCCACATTTTGACGAGTTTCTTCGATCTGGACGTATAACGGTCCAGAAGAACTCGTAAACCTGTTTTACTTGAGGGAATGCAGCTGTCAAGAACTTTAGGTCATGGTTACGACCAACGTAGGGCTCGGCAGGCGTGGATGATACCCGTCAACGATGGGGAAGGGTCGAGAAATTGTAGTCGATCAGCAACGGTGGGTAGGAAGCCAATTGTTGAGCTCAGAATTGAGGCTGTTTTGCGTGAGTGCTTTCCGACGCAGAGATTATGCATGAATGGAGATGACGTCAACCTCTGAGGACGAACTTCAAGTACTCTTTCCTTGAATGTGAGAGCGACATATACATTGATATTTGATCATCTTGTCATAGATGTTCAATGACGGTGGAGCGGAGAGGAATCAGCAAATGGGTGTCAATTGTGATTTTGGCGGTTTGTAATTCCTCAAAGTAGCGGGAGCACACTTTGTCACTTGAGAGAAATACTTGTTCGGATTCGATAACATTATCACTGGATGCAACGCCTGTGAGAGCCAAGCTGCGTGTTGTGGTCTCTTCTGAGCCTCGGATTCCATTGATGCCCTTTGGCACCCAATGTTCTTTGAAAGAATAGCCTAGTGTTGGCCACACTGTGCAGGATGATTGAATCATTATGGGGTGCGTGCCAGAGGGAGAGTATTTAGCGAGTGTAGCACAACTTCGTCCTCGTAAGAAGCTTGAAGAGGTGCTCGCGGTTAATGCGGACGATGTATCCAGATTTGAGTTCCTCGGCTCGGGCATGGAGAGAGTCTCAGCTCGCTATCTGCAGCTGCTGTTGAATGGTTTACCAGAAGCTCATGGCACAACCGTTGAATTAACGCGAAATTCCGGCTCATAGAGGAATTAAGAAGCCCGTTTAGAATGTCTGGAAGTAGGATGCCTTGTTCTGGGAGTTGTATGGCCTAGTATTGATAGTAAGACCTAATATCGAAATGGATACGCGAATATTAAATGTTCCCTTTACTGTTTACAGGTAACAGTCGGTTGATGAAACTTTGAAAAAGCATCGTGGAGGACATAACCACCTCAGGCGTTGTCCAAGTTGGTGAGAGGTAACTCGCCAAGCGCGGCCAAACACAATGAAACTTTGAAAGACGCGTTCTCCACGTGACAGCGCGACGCGTTGACGCGACGAAGAGCGGAGCTTGAAAAGTGTTTGCCATAAATCAACCGAGCTCAAATGTTGTGTCTTGTCCTCAACCGTCGACATTCAACGACATCCAGCTCTCAATCTCATCGACGACGACGACATGCAGACAACTCGGATAACCCGCAGTTCTGTCCTTGGCAAACGTAGCCACCAACCTCGAGATTCGTCACCAGCTCCAAGGTCCTGCGAGCAGCTGCAAACCCCCGACCCAACTCCCAACCCGAAGCGCGCACGCACTTCGACTCTGGTAACCGACTCTGATGGCAATAAGGAGAACGTTCCCCCATTCAAAGCTGAACTTGTCAATGGGGACTCATCACCTGTGTCTCCCAGGGCTGCAAGAGCCCTTCGGCGCACAGCGACAGAGGTTTTGATGACGCCAACTCGGGCTCGACCTGGTTAGTATATTTCTCGGTTAGAGTGCGTAAACTCCTTCTGACATCTTTTAAACAGGCCCCCGTCGACGCTCGTCGACATCCAGCCTCATCCCTGCCACACCAGTCACAGATATCTCACACCTTACCATCTCCACACCACCTCCTACACCCCCCGCCTCCATTGTTCCTATCCATGCCCGTGCTCGTGCTCTTCTTCGCTCAACATGTAATAATGCCGACAGTCTGATTGCAGGACGAGATTCGGAACGCGAGTCAATTCGTGATTTCCTTGCGGCCTACATCGATGGAACTGCAATGGATTCTGACAATGCCGAGACCAGTCTATTCATCTCTGGCTCGCCGGGTACCGGCAAGACCGCATTAGTGAATTCGATCATTCGTTCCCTCCACGACGACCACGACCAGGTTCAAGTCATTTCCATCAATTGCATGGCACTGCAAAATGTCGACGCACTATGGAAGAGGTTAATTGAAGAACTTGGCGCAAGTCGACAGAAACCCACAAGGGCGAAGAAAGCTCACAATAGAAATGCCGTCGAGGTATTATTGTCATCTCTCGAGACCAAGTGGTAAGTTTGTCCTGCCTGGCTTTTTTCGACGAACTAACCGTTACACACAATAGCATCATCATCCTAGATGAATTGGACCACATCACCCCAAATTCTCAATCCTTTGCTTCGCTGTTTTCTCTTCCTGAGGCTGTCCCATCATATCTGCGTCTCATTGGCATTGCTAACACTCACACACTCACCTCTTCTGCTGCGACCACCTTCGCACCCTCGGCGAACGTTCGGACGCTTCACTTCGCGCCCTATACTCCGTCGCAACTCCAACAGATTCTCGAATCCCGTTTACATCCCCTCTATGAGCCTAATCCTTTGGCACAAGACTCCGCATCAGTCGATGCAAGGAAATTCCTCCCCCCTCCGTCAATAATGTTATTGACTAAGAAGATTGCCGCCTTAACCGGCGATGTTCGGAGTCTTTTTGAGGTTCTCAGAGGTGCAATTGATTTGGCTGTCTCTCAGTCCGCGGCCAAGAATAGTGGCACGGATGTGAATCCACTCAATACGCCCCAAGCCTCCGTTAGCCCTCAACACATTCTTGCGGCTTTAAAGGCTTACACACCGTCTTCATCTAAGCGAAAGCCTGCCGCGGCCTCAACTGCGCCGGCTGCTCTAGCGAATAACAGCGTCAGTGAAACTGTCACTAAAACCCACAACCTCGGTCTTCAAACACGATTGGTGCTTTTAGCTATTATCCTCGCCTTCAAGCGACTGGAAGTTGGGCTTTCGTTGAGCAACCCATCCGCTTCAGTCTCAGCATCCCCGAAAAAGTCAGCCTCACCTGTGAAGCGTACCGCATCGGCCTTGAACATGAGCTCTGGCCAGAGTGTTGGGGTCGAAATGACACAGCTTCATACCTACTACGGTGCCGTCCTCACTCGAACCGATGACGGTATCTTTGAGCCCGCCTCTCGAAGCGAGTTTGGAGACCTCCTCAATATGCTGGAAGGAGTTGGCCTCATCACGCTTTCGTCGTCGCTGCTTCCCTCTGTAACATCGTCCCCTAGCAAGGGTAAACGGACTTTCGGCAGAACGGCGTCTTTCGGCGGCAGTCTTGGTGGAAGTTCAGTCGGTGAAGTGCGGCTAGCGGATGGTGTCTGGGGTGATGAAGTCCTTCGAGGGCTTGGTATCTCCACCGCCGCTGGCTCTGCTATGGAGGCTACTGATCCTCGTGAGGAAGAAGTAAGGGCGATCTGGCATCGAGAGAACGCTCGGCTCGGGCGAGACACCAAGTCTTTTGCAGCCGCTGCTTTGGCTTCTAGCAAACGTCCAATCGATCCCTTCCAAAATGCATTTGAGGATTAGAACATGCTCGTTCTCCTCATCTATCTGCTTCAAATCATCATCATTCAATTATGCTTAAGTATCCATGGTCTCCTGCATTCTCATCATCCGCATTTATTTTCAACGCATCAGCATCTTCATTCATGATACCTGCACATTCTATCATCCCCTTTTCTCGTTTTGTGGAATCATTTGCCCTTGCCCACCATCCACTGCATACACCCGGACGCTAAAGGCGCCACGACGCATCGGAATTTCGCTTGCTTGCCCTCTGAGATTATATATGTGCTACCTTAGTAGGAAGAAAAGTAGAAGATTTAGACTCCTGTAAAATCAACTAGATTTGTATGTTTCCATCCAATTTCACCTTGAAAGTCACCGAACTCGGTCACGTGAACGCATCATTCGCTAACTTCGGAAGATCAGATGTCTTGACCCCATTGTCCCTTTCCACCATGGCCAGATCCACAATTCTCGAATGGTGCCTGTGAAGTGGCTCGCAGCCACCCCCATGGAGGAATCCATTAAATCCACTGCCATTATCCTCACCAATATTCTGACGCTCGTCTTTCCTCAGAGTCAATTAGGAATGCAGGATATCAACTTTGGTTCGCTGCAAGCAAAGCCGGCGATCATCCGGTTTGATTTATCAAACCGTTGAACGAATCTTGGCCCAAATCTCTTGTAAATGCTCCTCTATGTTCAATGGCCATGGCCACATGGACCTTATGGCCACAGTCAGTGGCACAATGCGGAGTCTTTCGGGTGGCCTACCCCTTCTAGGAATAGGACATTTCTCGCTATAAATTGAACACTGGCCATAAAATTTCTGCTTCAGATACGCTCACTTCTGTCCCCACCCCGCACCATCGAAGCTTGATCCATCCCAGTGTTGACCACTTGGAACTATAGCAATCGATAACCCAGATGGACTCACTCCGAAAGCTACGCTCTAAGGTTCTCGAGAAGTGGGTTGTCTTTTTCCTGGAGGCATTGCACAACCTCAAGTTTTTTTTTCACTAGGATTCCAGTCAGCAGCGACAAGAATGAGAAAGTTCGCGACAAGACCGTTCGCTATTCTCGTTCTCTGCCGCTGCTACCTCCCAGCGATCCAGGTCACATACGGCCCACATATAGAGGGAAACGCCCGTTGCAGCCTTCTGATATTCGCCACCCTGACGACTTGATAGCGCCTGAGGCATTTAGTCGTCGGCCAGTCTATAAGAAGGGTCGTCGTCCTGTGAAGGCGTCGGATATCCGTCATCCAATGGAGTTCTCCCTCAAATCTATCGACCTGTACAAGATTGAAGCAGAAAAACCTGTCCCAAATTCGGACATCATGATTCAATTTCCCTCGCCACCAACTCATACTCCTTCCTCCTCTATCAGTCGCCCCAGTACAGACTCCGAATATCGTCCAACTAGACCGAGCACTCGCCCTGCTCCTTTGGATGATATCTATCCTGACCTTCTGCCACCCAGTATTTTATTGAAGCCCACCGATTTAGCTGAAGAGAGGCGGCGCTATAATGCCATCGAGGCAGCGAAAGGTAGAAAACAGTCCGAGTCCCGCCAGGAACCCCTTCAGCGCCATCGCAATGACTCCAGTAGTTCCTTTAGCCGTCCCACGGTCGAAGCTTATCCGGAGGCAGTTCGAAGATATTATCAAATTGGGGAATATTCGGTTCAGTCACAGAGTGGCCTCACTTCTCACTCCAATTACTCCACCCAAAGTTTGGGTGTCAATGCGCGTCTCAGAGATGGTCCTACCGTTCATCGCCCCGTCGTGCGCACGGCCTCAACAACGTCCAACAGTGGACCTGTCCACCGTCAACGCATGTCATCTTCGGCCCCTGTGAACAACGCTCCTATGTCGGTCCCTAGCACCCTACCTCTGCATAATTCTATACGCCGCCAGCGCAATGCGTCTTCGGCCTCTGCCAACAATGCTCCCATTTCGGCGCCTAGACCCCTCCAAGCGCATGATTCTGGGCATCGTCACCGCGCTGGGTCTTCAGCCTCTGTGAACAATTCTCCCATTTCGGCTCCTAAAGCCCTCCACGCGCATGGTTCCGGGCATCGTAACCGCACTGGGTCTTCAGCCTCTGCCAATAGACCTTCAAATTCAGCGGCCGCTATTTATCGTCAGCGCATGCCATCGTTGGCTGCTGCCAGTGGTCCTCCCAACTCGATTTCCAGGCATCCCCAGTACCAGACTACAGCAGGCCGGCGTGTCTTTAAGCGCGAGCCACACAGCAGCGAGAGGGGGTTAGCCGTCAGGTCCTCTAAAGAGTCTTTATCTGAGGGGTATGTTCTGGTCTCAGAAAAGGTGGACCCAACCTTTTGGAACCGCATTCCAGGCGACACTTACGAAAGAGACGACAAGAACCCTGCCATCATCACTAACTCCAAACCATGATTATTTTTGTGTTTCTGAAATGTACAGTTTACTCATTGTGTCGTTTTTTAAATTCCAGGTTGAACGACATTCCTTTTTTCCTGCATTGTATCATCTGCAACACACACGTTCATTACTCGCAACGGCGACACGACATTCCTTTTGTACCACGGTGGCATTCCGTTATGCATGCTTCACCCTCCTTTGTAATTCATGTGTACTTTGAAATGACAACTTTCGTGTAACCTACGGTTTATTTGAGCCTTGTCCGCGTGAATCTCGTGACTCAACGCGTCTGGTGACGCCAGGTGACAGTGAGGTGACGCCGAGTACAACGTGGTAACAACATCGACGGCCGTTGTCCAAGAAGAAAGAAATGACAGTACTTATTCGTCTGACAACCTTCGAAAGTCTTTGAAAATGGCTACTACTCACTCACCACGGCGTTCACGCAAAATACGTCGTTTCTCGTCGGGTACCGTTGGCTGGCCACCAGGCTCCCCTAGGTCCATTGCCTCAGCACCCCTCCGACCTCACAATCGTAGCAGGCAAGTCTCACTGAGCCCGCCGCCAGCCACTTCAAGCGTGCTCTTCCGTCGCCGTCTGCGATATGGTGAAGGCTCTGACTACGAAAATGAAGAGCCATCCTTCACCCACACGAGACATCGTCGACGCTCACTGACGCCAGACTCTCATATGTTTGAGAGACGATCGCGTCCCACTGCGTATTCCTCTTTGCCGCCCACCCCGCTCTTACCTTCGCGGCCGTATACCCCTCCGACACCTGTTTCGCCCGTATCCCCCACTTCCCCAACATTCCTTCCGGAGGAGGAGGCTCCTCCATCAACATCTCAAGCACCTCCATTCTCATTGTGGGATTACCTACGTGAGGAGTTGCTTGCGACGGATTTTGACTCTCATCAGGAGATGAAATGGGAGCGCGTGAGCAATTTTTTGAGCATGCCCTTGGCCATGGAAAAGGTACGTCGTTAATTACGGCCATCCAACTCCTTGTTAACATTTCTTAACCACAGATCATTGGATTTGGCTTTATCCTTTGTTTCGACTCGTTCCTCTATACGTTTACCATCCTCCCCATCCGCTTTGCTCTTGCCCTCTTTCGGTTTCTCTCGAACCTCTTCAGGCGATCCGCCCCTCCCTTACCCCCATCTCAAAAAGCTGATCTATTGCGAGCGCTGCTGCTTATCATATCCCTGCTCATCCTAAACCCACTCACCGACGCGAGTAAGATCTACCATGCTATTCGTGGACAAGACACAATCAAGTTGTATGTCATCTTCAACGCCCTTGAGGTCTGCGAGATCTCATAGCAACTCGACGGTATTGTAACATTGACATATCTGTATCAGATCGCAGACCGATTATGTGCTTCAATAGGACAAGATATCCTTGACTCGTTGTTCTCCCGGTCGATATTGGAACCTCTCTCCCACCGAATACCCGTGACGACTGATACTTTTCGTCCCTTCTTTTTCTTTTTCCTCGCAACCCTTTACAATGGTCTGTCCATTTGATCCTTCCGTGCTGCTGATGTTCACATGAAAACTATTCCTTCTAGTTGCTCATGCCCTCGTAATGGTGTATCAACTCATCGCACTCAACGTCGCCATCAACTCGTACGACCATGCCCTTCTGACGCTACTGGTGTCGAACCAATTCGTTGAAATAAAGGGTAGTGTATTCAAGAAGTTTGAAAAGGACAATCTTTTCCAAATCACCTGTGCCGGTTTGTCGCACTTTCCCCGCAGCAGCTCAAGTTAATTAACTAATTACCAGATATCGTTGAACGATTTACACTCGCTCTTATGCTCTGCATCGTTGCTTTCCGTAACCTCATTGAACTCAGTGGGACTGAGTTTGACTTCACTGAAGGGTTTATACTTCCAAAGAGCTTCGGTTGGTTTAGAGGGAACAACGTGCTCTGGACGATATCTTACGTGAGTGCACACCACGCCTCTGATATTCGTTTCTGAAATTTTTTTCTCAGCCTGTAGTGACAGTTATGATCTCGGAAATGCTGGTCGACTGGCTCAAACACGCATTCATCACAAAGTTCAACCACATCCGACCATCAGTATACGAACGGTTCACGGACGTGCTTTGTCGAGACCTCGCAAGCGGGAGCGCGGTTGGTCGTCGTGGGGCAAGGAAGGTGAGTCTCCCAAAATTCTTTGCACGCTTGCTGACTGAAACAATATGAATGCAGCACACTTTCGTAGATCAATCGCCTCTTGTGGCGCGCCGATTAGGATTTGCCTCCGTACCCCTAGCAGCACTCGCCATCCTTGTCGGCTCCCAGTCGATCAGTTTGATGTTCTCTGCCAACTCAGACTTTACATCTCCTTGGACGTGGACAGTGTGGTCTCTCTCGAACGCGGAGATAGCCCATTATTTGACGTGGGCTGCGATGGGGGTTCTGTTTTGGTTATGGTCTGTGCTCTTGATTTCCTCTCCTACTTTTTCAGCCAACTGATGGTGTTTTGTAGTTTCGTAGTTATCAAGGTTATAATCGGCGTTAACCTCATTAGCTATGCTACGCGTCGGCGGTCAGGAATGGAGGCCCGCGAGGTGGCTGATGTCGTGAACGATTTTGGTAGAGATCCTATAGGGGAAGGGAAAGAGGAACAAGTTGGTTCCCGTTTTTTTTTGTCCTTCGCCAGCTGAATTCATTTTGCTTCAGAAATACAACAAGGAGTTGAAATCCCTTCTGGACAGTGATCGCGATGATGTACCGCGTACGGCTGAGATTGGGGAATATAGACCTGGTGATGTAGGGAAGAAGAGGGGTAGGGTGAAGTTGGAGGATCTGACGCGGTATACGATGGTCAAGCGAATCTGGTAGTGCTGCGTGTTATATATTGTGGGTAATGTAAGATACATGGATATCATGGCACTAAGCAAGAGAGAGTATCATGCGTATCATTTTTTGCATGCATTGCTAAAGATTCCAGGATTGGAGCGTTCTTCTCCTTGACGCTGACCTGGATTCTTGAAAGTCGCAGAACTTGCCACAGTGAGCTAGTCGCTAGTTGCATTTCAGTCGCATTGTGGATAGCCTTGAAAATTGTCATTTTGGTGACCGGAGTATAATTAACTAGAAACAAGACGAGATTATGAATCGGGGAAGGGAGGAAAGAGGCGACGACGTACTGTTATCTTCTACCTTTCCCCTTGCCTCTCACCACCGTGAATCCGTCTTCGTCTACCTCAGGCCCTTCCTTCTTACGCTCTTCCGGAGGAGGTTGCATAAGTTGCGGGGCTTCATCTTCCTCCATCTCATCTTCTTCATCCCCCTCCTCATCTTCCCAATCACCCTCGTCCTCATCATCACTGACCACCTTCTCCTGCGCACTCGCCTTCTTCCCCTTCACCTTCTCCGCCAACTCCTCAAACTTCTTCACCAGATCGTCTTTCCCAATCCTCGTCTGATCCCATATCTTCACAATATCCTGGGCGACGCTCTCAGCACTCCCATCTTCCACCACCGCCTCGAACTCGTCTGCCATCACTTGCAGGAGCATCTCTTCGATGTATTGGTCGTCGGGCGTGGGGACTTGGTCTTCGAACGCGTCTACGATGACTGAGGCGAGCCAGGTTCGCTTTTCCGCGCCGTGAGCCCCACCCCAATTTTCTTGGACTGCGATCCGGAGGGTTGCCCAGATGGCGAGACGGGCGATAACCCCCCGAGCAAAGAGGACTGAAGATGCTGCCGGCGGTGCACTGGTACTGCTTTCCATATTTTTCTTTTTCTTTTTCTGGGATATGTGAAGTTGTTGATGCACAGTTTGCTTTCGACTTTCACCAAACAACGCGTACACGTTCAATCTTTTCTATTATTATGCATAATATAACATTGAAAAATAAGGTATGGAAGAATAGGCACAAGGGTATATCTGGTTGGTATATCATAGTGGACTGCGCAGTATAATTAGAATCAAACCTTGGGCTCTATGCTAGGCATCTCATAAAACCCCGATTTCTCTTTCTTCTTCTCCGCTTTCTTTGCCTCCTTTTCCAACCTCGTTTGACGCTCCGCCGGTGTTTCATCTTTGAACCTGTAATCACCCACTAACCCCGTCCCGAATGCTTTCCTGATGCTTGTTGAAAATAAAGCGACGCTGGCTAACCACTCAGGAAGGACATGGAAGATGTAGAATGCCGCTTTTGCTCCAGAACTGTTTAAAGTCCCAGGCCCTGTCGACGTCCAAGAGGTCGTGGTATGATACATCACTGACAACCTGTATATTGCGATGGTCCCCTGTGCAAGAAACGATATCAGATCAAAAACCATAGGCCCACTCAAAGATAACTTGCCGTCAAGGTCGTCATTAAAGCAATGGTCCAACAAGCTCTTTTGCTGGTACGAGGCTGCTTTAAACGAGACCATGTGGCCGCACAGGCAAGCACGATAAGAAGAAAAAGGGCCACACCACAGCTGGCGTATCTATTTTCCGTTGCATTTGTATAGTTCAGGAACTAGAATAATCATTATATAGCGCACCTAAGTCTAGCTGTCCTGTCGGCATCGCGTTGGTGTTCATTGAGTATAAGGTTCCCGTAATTTACGTTCGCGACAATCCCAGGAACGGTGGCCGAAAGAAATGCCAAGTTGGAGAAATCAGAGAACCGGCGTGCCCAAAAGCGCTGACGTGGGTTATCGGGAGTACCCTCCGGGGGTTTAGGAATGTAGCACTCTTTAGTAGCCGCCGCGGCAGATTGGCCATATGTTTCTGACCCATATGTTGAATTGACGAGAAGACACCTTAGAAGTTTGACCAGGTCGTTTGCAATGCCAACGAATCCCATTCCAAAACTGATTTGCAGGTATGTTGCCAATCCTTTTGACATCCTACGTGACTCATTACGTGCCTGCACCGCGCGCAACGAGAAAATGACGATCCTGTAGGAACGACAATGGGTATGCAGGCAATATCAGACATACAAACTGTGACTCACCTTTCGATAGCAAATGCCAATGTGCTGATCAATAGTGTGGTTCTGGTCCTCCTCTGCAAGAAACGGAAAATGGCAAAGGGAGCGAGAATGCCATACAGAACAGCGAAGAGGACCGATGGTGCAAAATCGACTGGTAGCGGAGTACCTCCAACGGGGGTCGGGAAAGTCATTTGAAGGCTAGAACGCCCAAGGCGAGTTGCTTCCTGAGCCCACACAGCAAGCCTTTATAGGGTTTATAGGTGACTGTTTTGGCAGTGTAAATGGTGTGTGCTCCAACCAACGCTAGACGTGTGATCCGTTCGTTCCTCGAGTATTGCTGCGTGCGCAGTATGTATGTGCAGAGGATACGGTAGGCATCTTGGCTATCCCAACAATTGAAGAAAGTCCGTTTTCCACGAATTTACCTCGAGGCGATGCGCTGATAACGATAATTGCTGTTGCTTCACGTGCTCCACCAACTTCTCCCTTGGGCGTAGTAGATTTCCCTGCATTTCGTCTAGGATGCCGCGAAATGGGGAAATGGGGACAACGTCGGTTCATGGATAGAGAAGGGGTTTCATTTGGTTGCACATGATGTATGATGATGTATGTTACCTGGCTTCTGTTCTCCTTCGAGTCTTTTTTGAGATACTAACATCGCAACGCTACAATCTGGGTACTCGGATCAAGTTGAACGGCGATTTTGAATAAATGAGTTCATCTGAAATTGGAGGACTGGAAGAGCCAGGGAAGAGCCGAGCTGGGTCACAAGAAGAACAAACAAGACTGACTTTGAGATTTTCTTTTTGTAAGAACCAAGTAAGAACCCTTACTCACGTAGCGGATAGCTCTACTTCTGACGCAAGGTGCTGCCAGGTTACTACTCAACTTCCTTCCTGCAGAGAGGTGATACATTGGCGTAATCATATCTTGAAGGACCTCACTGATTGGGAGATACTCACACAGGAAATCGGCATTAGCGTTTGAGCCCTCAACATGATTGGGCTACTTGATACGCCCGTAGAAATTATCCAAGAAATAGTGGTTTGCTTACCCGCAGACTCTCTTCTTGATCTATTCGCGATTTGTCATTTGCTCAATTACCTTTCCACGTCGGCACAGACGGCACTACTCGAACATCACGGAATTCGAGATCCTACCCGCTGCACTTTTGATCTTGACAATTATACCACAGGGGCCCCATTAAGGGCTGACGCTCTATGCACCTTAACAGCGGGCCTTCATATCAAACACATGAAATTTCTTCAGTGCAACCTCACGATTTGCGGGTATAATGGCCAGTGGATGTGGCTTCCTTCCGAACATTTACTTCGACTCCAACGTCTCATACAAAGGTTGACCTGGATCGATGAGGTCATCCTGACTTTCAACATGGAGACAGAAACCGACCTTGACGACGCGGATCTAAAGTCTGGGATCGATATCCTACAAAACCTGCTCAACACGATCATCACGAAATCATGCAAAACTCTTCGCATCATAAATTCAGGGAGCTTTTTTTAAAAAGAGTTACATATTTAATCAACCAGACAGTGGTTCCAGTATTACTCAGCGAGTCCGCCGATTCGTCCGCCACAACAATTCGCCAGATTGGCAGTATAAGAGGGTCGATAGTAATGGAACTCGTTTATTCCTCACTTGTTCTCCTGCGGCTTTGCAAAAGGTTGCGCTCACCAGGATGGAAATTGCCGCCATGAGCTTTTTCACTCCGCCCTGCTCCAACTGGACGTTCATTATGCTAAAGCAATCTCAAATTGAAACACTCACCCTCAGCTTAAACTGGCGCCACTTAGGCTATACACCAGCGGAGCGGTCCCATATACTCTCTCGACTAGTGGTGGCCGCTCAAGCTTCAGTCAGAACTTTGACCGTCCTCGATATAACACACTTGCTTGAAACCCTGGGCTTTGCTGCACAACTACCACTCCTTGACGCACTTAACTTCATTTCTCGTCGGAAATGGAAAGCGGGGTCCTCGGACACCACGTCCATCCCTATTGTTCTGAACATGAAGACAATCTTTGCCCGTGCAGAGATGCTCTTCTTCATGTTTTCCAGGCCGCCGCCTTTGACTGTTCCGAGACTAGAAAAAATCTTTGTGGCTTTCTATACCAAGGACAAAGGAATGTTCAACATCACAGCTACCGCCACCTCCATCGCCCGACTTCGTGACTCTGTCGGGCCCAACGTAGATCTTCTTCCGACGATCGAAATGGACAGTGGTCTACGATCAATGGAATCTCTTTGCAACGGAAATCAACCAATTTGCCCAATATGGGAGCAAGAATTTTCAAAGTTTCCAACTCTGTCTTTGACCGGTAAAATGACTATACTGGACAGTCCCGACACATTCCGAATTATTTTGGAACTGTTGAGGCTGTTTTCTGGAATAGAGGATCTGCATATTCGACTTAGGCCAAGTCCGGAAGTCGATCCCACTCCCATCCACCTTAAGCCTTGGATGGTGAAGGCCATCTCAAATCAATCTCCGAACATTACATTCATCTATTTCAACGAAGTAGCCCAGCACATCTCGCTGCCGAGCCAAACACTATGAGAGGTAGCTTGCTGCCAACAAGATATCTTGCGGTTCGTGGTTAGGTCGGTGTTTGCTGCCACTCTGTGATTTCGACCTACTTCAATAATATACTTCTACAACACAATAGATTTTGCCAAGAAATAAATAGCACCACCGAACCTTCCAGCTCAAACAAGCATGATATCCTCCGGCCGCCCACCTTCTGCCGCCCACCTCCACGCTACGACTTGACTGCTCAAACTTGAATAACCATTTCCAATAAACACCTCCACCCGCCTTGCCAGCTCAACATCTAACACATACCGCCCAGTCGCCCTCTCCCCAGACTTCGGCGTGTCTGCAGATTGCGTTACCCCCAGCCTATCCGGCTTGCTCCGCCCACACCGAGTTCATCGAGAATTGCCGCATGCGCAGTATATGGAGAGGATATGGTATGCATCTTGGCTATCCCAACAAACTGGGTTATTTCCACGAATCTGCGTCAAGGCGATGCGCTGGTGGGTTGGGAGCTGATAACGTTAAACCATAAGTTGCTTCACGTGCTCCACCAACTTCTCCCTTGCGACCCGTCTAGCGTAGTAAATTTCTCCACATTTCGTCTAGGATACAGCGAAATGGCGAAGGACATCGGCGCAGCGCTTATGATCAGAAAAGGGGTTGGACGAAAATAATTTGTTTGTATATGTTACCCACTCTGCCCGCTCAAGCTTAGTCTGCACTTTTGACGCAAGGCGTTGCCACACTAAGTACTCAATCAATATCCTTCCCGCAGTACGTTGACGTTATCAAAATCTGACTGACCAAGAGATACTTACACAGGGTTGAGCCGTCAACATGGTTGGGCTACTTGATCTACCCGTAGAAATTATCCAAGCAATATTGGCTTGCATATTGGATCGCTTACCCGCAGACACTCTACTTAATCTATTCCCGACATGTCGTTCGCTCAACTACCTTTCCACGTCGGCACTACTCGAACATCACGGAATTCGGGATCCTACCCACTGCACTGTTGATCTTGATACCAGAAGGGCCCCGTCAACGGCTGACGCTCTATCAGCCTTGCTATCGGGTCTTCATATCAAACGAATGAAGTCTCTTCGGTGCAACCTCAAGACTTCCTGGTATTTAGGCCAGTGGGGTTGGCCTCCTTCCGAATCTTTACGTCGACTCCACCGTCTCATACGAAAGTTGACCTCCATCGATGAGGTCGTCCTGTCTTTCAATATGGAGACAGAGATTCGTCTTGACGAAGCGGACCTACAGTATGGGATTGATATCCTACAGGACCTGCTCAACATGATCCTCACGAAATCATGCAAAACTCTTTCCATCATAAATCCAGGGAACTTTTTTGCACAGAGTTACATATTTAATGAACCGGACAGTGGTTCCATCATCACTCAAGCATTCCACCAGATCTTCCACCGCAACGATTCACCAGATTGGCAGTATAAGAGGTATGACGGGAAGGGAACTCGTTTACTCCTCACGTGCTCTCCCGAGGCTTTGCAAAAGGTTGCGCTCACCAGGATGGAAATTGACGCCATGAGCCTCTTCACTCCGCCCTGTTCCAACTGGACTTTCACCATGCTACAACAATCTCGAGTTGAAGCACTCACCCTCAACTTAGCATGGCCCAACCCATTCTATACACTAGTTGAGCGGTCTCTTATACTCTCTCGCCTAGCAGTGGCCGTTCAAGCTTCAGTCACTTCTTTGCGTGTTAGAAATGTAACACACATCTTCGAAGCGCTGGGCTTTATTGCTCAACTTCCACTTCTTGACAAACTTGACTTCAATCTTTGGACATGGAAAGCGGGGTTCTCAGACGGAATCGCCAGTACATCATTCCCTATGGTTCTGAACATGAAGATCATGACTGCCCCTGCAGAACTGCTCTTCTTCATCTTTTCCAGGCCTTTGACCGTTCCAAGATTAAGAGAAATCTATTTGGCTTTCTATATCAGTGAAGAAGGAATGTTCGACATCACAACTACCGCCACCTCCATCGCCCGACTTCGTGCCTCTGTCGGACCAAACGTAGATCTTTTTCCGATGATCCACATGGACAGTGTTCCACCATCGATGGAATCTCTTTGTGACGGAATTCGACCAGTTTGCCCGGTATGGCAGCAAGAATTTTTCAAGTTCACATCTGTGTCTTTGGCCGGCGACATGACTCTACTGGACAGTCCGAACAAATTCCGAATCATTTTGGGACTGTTGACGCTGTTTTCCGGAATAGAGCAACTGCATATTCGACTTGCGCCAAGTCCCAAAGTCGATCTCACCCCCATCCACCTTGAGCCTTGGATGGTGAAGGCCATCTTAAATCGATCTCCGAACATTACATCTATTTTCTTCAACGACGTAGCCCAAAATGAGAACGAGGTCCTAACCACATCTCGGTGCTAAGCCCAACTCTATGATAGATAGCCTGCTGCCAACCAGACATCTTGCTTTTCAGGTCGGGCATTCGACATACTCCAACAATATACCTCTACAACACCATAGATTTTGCCAAGAAATAATTAGCACCACCAAACCTTCTCAACTAACAAGCATGATATTCTCCGGACGCCCACCATCAGCCCCCAACCTCAAAGCGCTCGGACTTGGGTACTTAAACTCGTATAGCCATTCACAATAAACACGTCGCATGCGCAGTATATGGAGAGGATATGGCAGGCATCTTGGCTATCCCAACAAACTCCATTATTTCCACGAATCCCCCTCAAGGCGATGCGCTGGTGGGTTGGGAGATTATAACGTCAAAGCACAAGTACTTAACTGCTCTTGCTTCACGTGCTCCACCAACTTCTCCCTTGCGACCTGTCTAACGTAGTAGATTTCTCTACTAGGATGCAGCGAAATGGGAAAGGGGGGAGAACATCGGCGCATCGCTTATGATTAGAGAAGGGGTTGGACGAAGTTGAAGAGCAATTCGATTCATTGTTTGTATATGTTACAAAATATTCTGCACTCCCCATCTCTCCGCATGAACTTGAACAGTGCCAGTGACGTTCGAGCTTAATCTCTACTTTTGACGCAAGGTGCTACCACGCGACTAAATCAATACCCTTCCCGCAGTACGTTGGCGTAATCAAAAGCTGAAGGACCTCACTGATCAAGAGATACTTACACAGGGAATTGGGATCAGCGTTTGAGCCGTCAACATGGTTGGGCTACTTGATATACCCGTAGAAATTATCCAAGCAATATTGGCTTGCTTACCCGCAGACTCTCTTCTTAATCTATTCCCAACATGTCGTTCACTCAACTACCTTTCCACGTCGGCACTACTCGAACATCACGGAATTCGGGATCCTACCCACTGCACTGTTGATCTTGATACCAGAAGGGCCCCGTCAACGGCTGACGCTCTATCAGCCTTGCTATCGGGTCTTCATATCAAACGAATGAAGTCTCTTCGGTGCAACCTCAAGACTGCCTGGTATTTGGGCCAGTGGGGTTGCCCTGCTTCCCAACCTTTACGTCGACTCCACCATCTCATACAAAGGTTGACCACGATTGATGAGGTCGTCCTGTCTTTCACTCTGGAGAAAGAGATTCGCCTTGATGACGTGGAACTAAAGTATGGGATTGATATCCTACAGAACCTGCTCAATATGATCCTCACGAAATCATGCAAAGCTCTTTCCATCATAAATCCAGGGAGCTTTTTTGGACAGAGTTACATATTTAATGAACCGGACAGTGGTTCCATTATTACTCAGGGATTCCGCCAATTCGTCCACCGTAACGATTCGCCAGATTGGCAGTATAAGAGGAACGATAGGAAGGGAACTCGTTTACTCCTCACTTGCTCTCCTGAGGCTTTGCAAAAGGTTGCGCTCACCAGGATGGAAATTGACGCCATGAGCCTCTTCACCCCGCCCTGTTCCAACTGGACTTTCACTCTGCTAAAGCAATCTCGAATTGAAGCACTCACCCTCGGCTTAGCATGGCCCTACCCATTCTATACACCAGCTGAGCGGTCCCTTATACTCTCTCGACTAGCGGTGGCCGTTCAAGCTTCAGTCACTTCTTTGCGCGTCGGAAATCTAACAAACATTTTCGAAGCGCTGGCCTTTATTGCTCGACTTCCACTTCTTGACACACTTGACTTCAATCTTTGGACATGGAAAGCAGGGTTCTCGGGTGGAATCACCACCAACCCATCTTTCCCTATTGTTCTGAACATGAAGATACTTAATGACTGCCCCCGCAGAAATGCTCTTCTTCATGTTTTCTGCTGGCAGGTTTTTGACCGTTCCGAGGTTAAGAGAAATCTATTTGGCTTTCTATATCAGTAAAGAAGGAATGTTCAACATCACAACTACTGCCACCTCCATCGCACAACTTCGTGTCTCCATTGGACCCAACGTTGATCTTTTCGCAATGATCCATATGGACAGCGTTGCACCATCAATGAAATCTCTCTGCAACGGAATTCGACCTATTTGCCTGATATGGGAGCAAGAATTTTCAAAGTTCACATCTGTGTCTTTGGCCGGCGACATGACTCTATTGGACAGCCCCAACACATTCCGAATTATTTTGGGACTTTTGACACTGTTTTCTGGAATAAAGACATTGTATCTTCAACTTAGACCAAGTCCCAAAGTCGATCCCATCCACCTTAAGCCTTGGATGATGAAGGCTATCTTGAATCGATCTCCGAACATTACATCTGTTCTCTTCAACAGAGTACCCCAGAAGGAGAATGAGGTCCCAACCACATAGGCCGAACTTTGAGAACAGATTTCGACATACTACAATAATATACCTCTACAACACAACAGATTTTGACAAGAAATAAATAGCACCACCGAACCTTCTCAACTCAAACAAATGTGATATCCTCCGGCTGCCCACCATCAGCCCCCAACCTCAATGCCACGACTTGAGTGCTCAAACTCGAATACCCGTTCCCAATAAACACCTCCGCCCGCCTTGCCAGCTCAACATCTACACATACCGCCCAGTCGCCCTCTCCCCAAACTTTCGGCGCGTCCGCGGATTGCGTTACCCTGCGCATGGGCCCACCAGCCCACCCGGCTTGCTCCGCCCACTCCGAGTTCGTCAATGCCTCTCTAAGCTTGTAGTATTGCAGATAGACAAGCGGGTGATCCCAGGCGCCGTCATGCAAGATGTGGATGGTACGCAGGTGGGGCCTTGATCGGACTTGGTGTGTGATTGCGTCGAGGATGCGATGGAGAGATGGGTAACAGTGTTCCATCACGGAGGTACCGTTGTTCACGTCGAGTGTTGGAGGGAGAATGGAGTCGGAGATGAGGGGGAGGGTGGCCCATGTTGTGAACCCCGTGTGCGTTTCGCCGAGGTAGCGGCAGTGTTCTTCGAAGTCACCTGTGAGAAGGGAAGTAAGTATTGATGCGAAGATGTGTACGGAAGATAGGTGACCTACCACGTCGGAGATGTAGCGCTACGTAGGAATCTCGATCCTTTGAAGATGGTTTATCGCGGAAATTGAGTGCATTTTGAACGCGGTCAACTATTCTCAAGACATCGCTTGACCATTCAAAATGGTTCGCGAGATATTTCTGAAAGGTCGGCCAGATTGGATGAGTGCCCGCCGACGCAAGGAAGCTTACACATGATATTCATCAGCACCGGTACAACTTGATGCGGAAAAAACAACGCACTTCCAGTTGAATATCCAATCATCGACAACGACACACCTGTCATTGCCTTCCAACACCGATTTTGCGTGCGCCCATTGCGTTTCGTAATCGCCCGAAAACAGCTGTACATGGGTGACTTCGCCCTCGGGGCAAATTTTGTTAAATACTTCTTCGTTGATGCTCCCTTTTGTTGGACCGCTTAGGAACGCGGATAGAGGCACTGTGGCCTTTTCACCTCGTGGACGCCATATGAGAGGCTGATATACATAGACGCGATTCGTTTGTAAAGCAAGATGATGATACAACAGAATTTCCTGCGCCTAGTGAGGTTTAACTTTCAATAAGCCAAGCGCAATGAACGAGAATGGGCTCAAACGCACCTGGTTATTGAACCCAGCACCCCGAAGTTGCTTAAACTTGACATATTTATGGCCTCTCGAGTTTCCGACTAGTTTGTTGGATTCCTTCGTTTCCGTGGTCGCGATGGTGGTGTACAATTGATAAGGTGGTCGAGATGTGTGGTAGAAATAGTATGTGACAAGACCTAGAAAGGCGAGGAGAAATAAAAGAGGGCGCAATGCGCGCCAGTGAACTTGGATGTGTTTAGGCATTACAACGGGCTCTCAATGCGGCATCGCTGCGCGTACTTGTCGAAGCGAGGTAACTCATTTTGCTTCCGTCATGTCTGCTGTTGTGTTTACTTTCAAAGCTCTTCAGATATCGTTGCCAACGACACCGGCCTCTTGCCAACCTATTGCCCCCGTTCTAACTTCTTGCTTTTTTCTAATCTGCATACATACTTACTTAGATGAATATCTGTGAGCGCCGAGTTGGCGCCGAGCCGCAGTCTACGAAATTCTGAAAGTTACCAAGAATAGCTTCAGGAACTGATGTCTACCACGATTGGCAGGCGCTTGCTCGGCCTCCGCAGCAAGGATTTCTGGAGTGAAAGTTTAAAGAACCGTGCATACAACGTGCATATAAGGACCGCAGTCCTTTCACCAGGATCTTCTAGGACCAGCTTTGATCCCAGCCACCATGGCCGATTCGTTCCCCTCACTCATTGGAGGCTTTTCCCTTCCTCACGACCTGGTTCCCTCAATCGTCTTTGCGGCAACTTATGGCTTGCTTATACCTATCTCTATTTGGCGTATAGTCAGCAAGAGGTCGCGCTCTTTTTTGATTTTTGGAACGACGGCGTTTGTCGTTGAGAGGTTCGTGGCCAACTCGCCAAGCTCTGCTCAATTTCAGAGTCATTAACTTCGTGGTTCAGGACCGTGATGTTTTCGTTGCGAGCTGTAATATCTCGTCAACCGCCTGAAAAAGCGGCCGAAGGATTGGTCGAGTACCTACAAACAACTATTGCCATGGGATTTGTTGCTCTTTCTCAAGATCTCGCTGGGATGATGCGCGCAGTCCTGGTGAACGGAACGTATGGCTCCGACATGTTGAATGCCCAGACTGAGAAAGTCCAAGAGAAGGAGCATCTGGAGCATGGTGGCACCCTCACATCGAGCTCTAAATCGATGTTCTCCAGCAATTACAACTTCTCCGTAAACTCGAACTTCTCAGCGTTTGATATGGAAATTCCGGACCATCCCAGGACACGATTCTGGATACGTCGGATTCATGACATGACTCAAATACTATTCGTAGCAGCGATGGCCACTGGGTTTATGGGGAACAGCAGAATCGTATCTCAGCGTCACGACCCCACGCAGACCACAATAAACCAAGCCTTAAGGTAGAGCCGTTGTATAAACCATTCCTTCGGTGCTAATCATCTCATAGGTATACGAGCACTGCAGTTACCGTATTTGAGCTGTTCGTTATCTCTGGCATGTGCATCTGGGCATACTATCGGATGGGCAGGGTCAATAAAAGGGCTTGTTCAGTGCTTGCTGCCCTCACCATCTTTCTTGTGCGTATTGCTTGCAATCGTTGCTTTCAACGCTTGACACATCAAGTTAGGCAATCCCGGCTATCTATCGTCTTTCAATCATGTCATTCACGACATCATCCTACTATTCCCTTGACCCTGGCTCAAATAACTCGACGCTGGACAAGGCCATTTTTTACCTCCTCAACGTCGTGCCTGAATGGGCATTCGTAATGATCATCTGCTCGATCAACGTCAGGGAGGTGCTCGGCATTTCCTGTAAGGGCGACGAGCGATGTAGAGATGAGACGAAAGAGGAGAGGGTACGTCGGGAGACCAAAGAGCAGGAGAAAAAACTGAAAAATGGGGACGCAACTCTGGTTTCAATGCCGACCATGTGCAAGATGGATAGTGGGAAAATCGCTGCTCCTTTGATTTTCGTGGACAAGTAATGGATCTGTATAACCTGTGTTAGCTGTATTATCGTGTAGTGTACAATAATCTTGGATTAGAGTTGTTCCATTGCCTTCAAAAATAAGCTGTTCACGTGATTATATGTATCCTGCTTGAAGCTTCAACATGTCTTCACGGTCGCCTTGGCTGGTTCCTTCCTGGCGAAATATCAAGAGCTTGCGCCGACCATGTCATTCAAGGGGACCTTCAGAGTCTCGCCGTTCTTTTGTAGGTGTATCGGAGGCTACGAAGCTTCAGAAACCTAAAACCAAACTACCGACGCCTATATACGAAGTCGAAGGCTACGAATCTTCAAGAGGTCGCGACCTTCCTCCGATTGACCAATGGCGCAAATACTTCCCTCACGATAAGGAGACATCTACTCGCATTTCACTAAGGAATCCAAACACGACAGACGCGTTGGCGAATGCTCTTGTACCCGAGGGTTCGTTGGGGAAGGTTATCATTGAGTCGGATCCAGGTCCGTCTGTTGTGTTCTCTTTTTTTTTGGATGAAAGTGGTTTAAAGATATGGTGCAGGTCCGGGACAGCTCACTCGTTCCCTTCTTAAACTTCCAAGAGAGCGGATAAAGAAATTGATTGTACTTGAACCCAACAATCTATACCTGCAATACATCAAAGTGAGTCCCAAGCTGATCCACGGGCACTTATTTATAACCCCTTACCTTCTCGTACAGCCTCTACAAGCAATTGATGATCGCGTCGTGATTTACGAGCAGAGCGGGTACGAATGGGGGGTTTACAACAAATTGGAGGACGCCGGGGAACTTGATGATGTATTAAAAGTTCCCTGGACTAGTGGAGGTGAGTTTATTGGGTTGATGTTCAAACTTTTATGCTTGACGCGCGCGTTATTTCATCTAGTTCATCCTCAACTCGCATTTATCACGCATATCCCGACCACCGTGTTAGGAGAACAACTCATAGCCCAATTGTTCCGCGGGATACCAGACAGACAATGGTTATTCCAGTACGGCCGGGTACCCTTATGTTTCATGATGAGTTCACGGATGTGGAAGGCACGTTGAACCTATTATTACCTCGCCAGAGGAGCTTATGCAATCACATATAGCGACTTGATGCACCGATGGGGGGCACCCAACGCTGTAAAGTGGGGGTCATGGGCGCAGCGACTTCAGAGATCACTGAACTCCTCCCATACGAAGCGACGCAACCGTTCAAGGATCACTTCCATCCAGTGCCATATGCTAAATATGCACCGGTACCTTCTAAACACCCGGATTCACGGCGGGTAGGGAACCCATACCAGGTTGTTCTGACCGTTCCCAGAGAGTTTCAGGTGCGTAGACTGGTTGGTATCTGCTTCATTTATTGTTAATTGTCATCTTTCTGACAGGCAATTCAACCGGGCCATCTGGATTACTGGGATTACTGTTTACGCAAGATGTTCGTTCAGAAGGCGACGCCGCTGAAGGCATCAATAAAGTACGTTGATCATGCGCATGAACATGCCCTTTTGCTGAGTTATCCTTTAGCTCACTTGGTCCTGGAGCGACAACTCTCCTCAAGAAGCTCACTGACCACAACCTGCCGCCCTCGGAACAAGTCGATATCCGGAAATGCCCAAATAGCTTGAATGTTCACGAGTGGAGCCTCCTCGTTAAGGCTTTTATGGAATGGCCGTTTGCTCCAGAGGTAGGCTACTTGTCTCTTCCTTTGAGCGATTGATCATTTAGCACGCATTTTTAGGATCTCGCTATTGACACTGTCTTCTGCAATACCAACGAGCATCGATAGCCCTAAATCTGACTGCATTGAGGATGCTGTATTTATAGACGTTACTCTGATACCATCGACATCTTTGTCGGGCATTCATGGAAGAGTCTTGGGGCCTCCGGACCATTAAATTGACGAAGTACGCTTGAAATTCCACCCCGTCCTATCTTCCATGTCCCCTGCTCATGTCAACAAGAAAGTGTCTTCTGGTGTGAGTTAACTCTCCACTCGAGCACGGGAATCCGATAGTTCAGTCAAGAATGTGGCAGCTGTCGATTGAATCCAGAAGACGCGAAAAGCTGTATTTCAAAAATAGACCACTTTCTTCGCTTTAGGCTGCGTCAACTGTCCGAAAGCCTTCACAACACCGGAGTGAGCGCCAGTCTTCACCTCCAGCAGCCTTTTTAGTTTATCCTCCTGTTTTTCCTCTCTTTCCACTTCCTTTGTCTTCCGTTTCAGGGTATGGAAGTCATCTTCGTCCGCTCCTGCTTCTCGGCCCGTTCCCAATAGGGCCGTTGTTTGAGCTACATCTGCAGCAACAAATACATCAGCCGAAGTTAAGGTCAATGAGGGGCGATTGCGTACCTTCTCTTCTCAGCCCACAATCCTTCGCTAGATGGGCAGTGTCGCCGCAAATTTTACAGCATCCTCCGTTTGGGTATACGCCCTTTGCCTTGTTTTGAGGACAAGCTGAGGCTAAATGGCCTTTTCCACTGCAAACGAAACATGACGCGAACGGCATGGGGTTTTCCGTATCCGCAGGTTTCTTGCAGCGCGAGAGGGTGTGTCTTGTCGAGCCGCATCTAACTTAGTGATGAGAACACGGGAAAAAATGGATCCATTGAAACCTAGACATACCTGTAACAAATGCCAACTGATTTCCCTTTCCCATCTTCTGTCGTAGCTTTTGGGCAGTTTTTGGCAGCATGGCCTTTCTCTCGACAAGCAAAGCAGGTTGTACCCGCCTGCTTTTCTTCTATCCGCTTCAAGCGCCTGGCTTCTGAGGGATTGACAACTAATCACGACCGTCAGAACTAGTGACATGATAAGTAATAGATGGCGTACACTTTTCTCGTTTTTTCTTGTTCTTCTTCGCGGTCGTTTTTGATGGCCCGACTTCCTTTGCTTCCCCCTCTCTACCATTGGTGGGTTCCGGCACGACAGCCGCGCCTTCGGTACTAAGTTCGCCAGCTGCGTTCTTCGCTGCATTACCATCTCTCTTGGACAGCTTCGTCCTCTTTCGTTTCTTTTTTGGAGGCGGTTGATCTGTTTCTGGCTTGTCACCAGTTTCGACGGCATTGTGCGATTCCTGAGGGATTGACGTAGACTCTTGAGGTTCCGACGCAAACCCAGCTGCTACATAGGTTCGTTTCATGCCAAAATTCGTTGCGCGAGTCATGATATTCACGAGGGACGAGTGGTATATTTTTGGAGTTCCGAGAATGTATTTATTTATTACGAAAATGATTCTGCTAAGGTTGCACTCCTCGTCCGACCATGAGCCAGCGCAAGACTGTTGTTACGAAGACTAACGACTTGGCACGCCAAACCGCTGATGTTCTCCATCAGTATGAAGACTCGGACGGTCATTTTTCCCTGGTCAGGTAAGTCCCTTCGACGTCTTCGTCGTCTCTCATTGCTCACTTCCTTTTCTTAGGAACTTCCGTCTTGCAGACCTCGTAACCATCATGAACGGCGTCTGCGGTTCTTTCTCTATATTTTCCTCTGCACGATATCTCTTGACGAACGATATTGACTATCTCTGGACCGCGATGGCATTCCCCCTCGCTGGACTTATGTTTGACTTTTTGGATGGAAAGGTGGCGAGGTGGAGGAAATCGAGTAGTATGCTCGGCCAAGAATTGGATAGTTTGGCTGATTTGGTGTGTAATCTCACTGCTTATTCTTTTTTTCGAAAAACACCTTAATCGTGCTCAACAGATTTCATTTGGAGTTGCTCCCTCTTTGTTGGCCTTCGCAGTAGGCCTAAGAACCTACCTGGACACCGTCGTTCTTACTGGTTTCATCTGCTGCGGCCTTGCTCGACTTGCTCGATTCAATGCGACAGTCGCCCTAATTCCTAAAAATGACGGCGGCAAAGCCAAGTATTTTGAAGGTCTTCCCATCCCATCATCACTCGCACTCGTTGCCGTACTGTCGTACTGGACGAAGCAGGGATGGATCGAAGGGAAGGAAGGGATCCCGTGGGGCACTATGACGCTATGGGGAGAACAAGGAGGGCGCGGAGAGTTGCATGTGGTTAGTATTATCTTTGCATGCTGGGCTGCTGCCATGGTCAGCAAGACGCTTCGCGTTCCCAAATTATGAGTAGTTGAAGGAATTGGGCCAATGCATAATATTCCAAATGCCTTCATAGTGTTCAGGCGGTGTCAAGTTTGTCTCTGGCGACTTCTTTTTAGCTTCGAGCTGCTCCAACCTATGCGCGACATCGGATACATGCTACGCGGACGTCAAATACGTGGCAGCGAAGTCGGTTTCCTGGTGCTTCACTTATGCCGTGTTTCGAGGAACTGTCCACACAAGTTCGTCGTTGTTGTTCTCTGCGGCCGGCATACAAATGAGTGAGGTCGCAAGCTTACTGCCACCACCCCACCAAAACGTCCGAGGCCTGGATATATTGCACATTATTGTGCCTAGTTAGACGTGACAATGAGTACTGAGTACTGAAAGCCTGATATATGTAAAGGTCCGAAATACCCCGGTCCTCGTTCCCAGACAGCAGAAATACAAGTATCACACCAGATACCAACTTTTCACTATGCGAGAGAGAAACGGCCATGGCTCTGCGTCATTTGCTCTACACTAGAGATATATCTTCCCCATTCATCCAGCCTAAAACCGCGTCAACATTGTCCGAAAGAGAAAGGGAGGAAGTTTGGGATAACGCACTCTAGACTGGTCGGCGCCATCGACCACATCGTCAAAGTTTCATTATCCATCATAGGTAACGAGTCCCCAAAATACGATACATTGCCGGAATCAGGCGGATTCGTTGCAAACAATGAAGAAAAGTCCACAGAGTCTGTTGTTGTTGGGATTGAAAATTGCACATTCCCGTTCACTTCAGTATCCGCAGGATATGGGTCAGTGAAGAAATTGCTTGTCGGCAAGTTGGATGGCAGGTTCATTCCAGGCTCAAATTGACGGAAGCCATTGATAGTAGAAGAAGACGTAGCACTGGAAGGTGTGTCTGGAATAGGAACAGAAACATGCTCATTCAAGCAAATTCGTTCATCCCCAGGATGAAACACGGAATCAGAGAAATTGAACTGGCCGTATATAGGAAGTCGTCCGAGCTCATTGCTGTACATTGGCAAGGAAAAATTCATTCCTTGTTCAGGTTGGACGGGCTTCGATGATTGAGGGACGGACGACACACGACGAGAACCGGCAATACTCCTTGGTTCATCAGGCGAGGACGGAATGCTTGTTGGAGGGGCATTATGATCTTCACGTGGTCGTTTCTTGTTCGAAACCGCTGCATAATCGTTATTTCGAATGGAGACGTCGCCGGCAGACGCCAGCTCAGATAAGATATCCCTTGAAGCGTGTAATGATCAGATGGTGTCTGTCATAAGAGAGAAAAATGCTCACCAGAGTCGACCTGCAGATGCCCACCTGAAGGATTGATAAGGGGTGAGAAGCCAATGGAAAAAGACGTAGATCGTCGCTCACCTTCCTTCAGATGCCTTGAGTACTCCCATACACCGTTGAACGTCTTCCACTTCCCGACGAGGATATGGGGCAATCCCTGACCTCTTACCGCTCCATATATTCAGAAGAAGAATCACGGCAGATGTAAAAGCAGTGATCTACAAAAGAAAATACTTCAGTAACGAGCCGATCGTGAGCACCAGAACCTTTATACCTGTAGTTGAGATAATGGTAACGCGCTTAAACGGCTGAAAGACTCAAGAACATGACAACAAGATCGTGCAGCATTCGTACATATCGCCAATGAAGGGAAAGTAACGGGAAACGGATTTCGGGGTGTCGGAATGAAGGGCTTGTGAATGAAAATCTGGAGGTGATAATAGATTGCGTGGAGGGCAGCCGACTGTTTCAGGAAAAGTTGGTTTGTGCAGTTTGGGTTCCACCGGACTTGGAAATGGTTAAGACACATTAGCAAACAGTACAATGCGAGCTTACGATGGTCAGGAATCGAATCCATCCAATGGTTCATCGCCGAATCCAGCTCTGCGACTGTCTGCTCATCAGAACGATGTGGAAGATGACCAAAGACGCGGTTTGGCCTCTTAATGGGATACTGCGACCGATATAAATCAGTAACGCCGGGATGATCAAAAGAAAGATAGGAAGCACTATAAGACGCATCGCGGATGAGAGGATATTCATCAAGGATAGATAACAATTGAAATATGCAATTGTGGATGGCTTCCCGGCGGGTTGTTCGAAACCAGTCTCCCAATATTCGTCATCACAATCCAGCGGAAGATCGAGATCAAAGCTGTGAAAAGAATCGCCATGAAAAACCCGGAAAATGCAGGTAAAAGAGAATGACGCACTCCTCATCATGTAGGCCACTAGGACGACCCGAAAACGAGCCCGACCAACGATCGAGGCTTAATATAACCCTTGTATCACAAGACGTTAGGACATCGCCGTTCAGCGGAACAAATGAAGAAGCATTCACCAAAACGCTCGCTTCCATAGTTCATCTTCTGTATCAGGAACCCTTATATCCTTTCGTCTCCGATGGGCACCTACGTCTTGTGCTAACCGCAACGCAAGCCCGATCTGCAACCAAACACCATGCGAAATTTCACTTGTTTGGCAAAAGAGGACATGTAGCGCGTGCATCTGAAGCTCGTGCAATGATGTCCTCTTGTGCAGAGATTTACGAACTACATCCACTTGTTCAAACCACTTCCAACCCGAGGATCGGGAGTCGGTTGACCCTTCCGCAAGCACACGCGGGTCTGAAGAGTACCGTGCACCATGGGCGCAGACCAGGAGCAGCACTCTTGCGAACATGGGGTCTGTCAGATGCAAGTCACTCGCGACATCAGCCTCGAACGTGGGGCGGTGCAGAAGTGGAAGGAAAGGGTTTATTTGAAGAAAGTAGATATCGATGAGGGATGGCATTAAGTCGTCGTCCGGGAAATCGAAGCCCTCGTACACTTCATCTGCCTCCGGATCAAAGCGAGCCCACTAGGTTCCGTTCAATATTAGCAACCTTTACAGTGATACTTGATAACCTCAGACACACAGGTGGAAGTTCCCAAAACTCTTTACGCTTTTGAAATGTTTTGACATTGTTCTTCGGTACTCCCGTAAATTCGTGTTTGTGCTCAAGAGCAGCCTGTATCAAATGGAATCCACTAGAAACGAAGTTTGTTGGATGGCCAAACCCAAAAGGCAGAATGATACGAGGTACGAACCTGGATTTTCCAAAAAATCGGTTCTGGGGAGGATTCAACTTGAACTTGGACATTTTCCAGATAAGATCATCAGTGGACGGGTCTTCAGTGTCGTTGCGAAAGGTCGGCGGTTCCGGTGAACTGTCTTCCCCAAAGTTCTCAACTTCTTGATTCAAATCAACACCAGGAAGAAGCTAATCAACCTTTTTAGTCGTTAAATGCAGACTGTGGAAAAAGGCGCACCTTCGTCAACAGCTTGTCCATCTTTTCAAGACGAGATTCCAGGCTTTCGACATATCTTTCGAGAATTCAAGCCTTTCAGTACGAAGCGCAGGATATCTATAGGCTTTACGAACCCCTTTGCAGTGCCCAATGTCTGGATAGAGGAATTGTCAAGTTTTTGCATTCACGAGGAATTCTCATGCAAACGCACCTTTACGACCTCCTTGTGCGTACATTCCAAACCCAGCTGAGTGCAATGAGTGCATCGATTGCCTGGTAACTCCCCGCTGTCACCTATTGCGCATTACTAAAACTTTGAAAGACCATAGCTATTCATGAATGCTCACAGCGAACTGCACAAAAACGAACATGTCAGAGCCCACGCCCTGTAGTTTGGTAGATACAACGCACTCTTTTTTCGTTTACAAATGTCGCACGCGCCTGGTATCCTTCGTTTTTTCGACTGTGACCGACCAGTGTGTACGTCGTCGCTTTGATCTGAAGCAGTCATGTTTCACAGATCTCTTTCGTAGTCACAAGGAATGTCGGTGTGTGCGCTTCACAAAGGGGTTATGGGCATGATCAAATTTCGAGTCATTTCAAATTCAGTGACGTCGTCCGGCGGCAAGATTACAAACAAGGGACCAACCTCCGTTCGACAAGGCAAATGATATGAGATAAGGTGTAGAATGGAAGTACAACAACACGTGTTGAAGTGAAAAAAAAACTACACTTCTCCCAGAATATCAACCAAAATTTCCTTTACCGTCGTCGTCTTTCTCACTGGCAACGGACTCTTCCCTTCATTCCAGCCACTCCAACGCCCCTCCTGGCGCTCATCAGAGTCAGGTGGACAAGTAGTCCACATACTCTCACTGTCACCCATCGGACCATCCTCATCAAACCCAGACCCAGATCCGAACGTCGCACCAAAAACAGCGCTCGCAAGCACCTCATCCTCCGGCCCATCGCGCAACTTCACTCGATGTGTTATAACACGCGGCATAATCCGCGCGACGTCCACCTCAGACACGTCTAGCACTACAGGGGCTCTGCTCATCGAAGAGGTGGTGGAAGTTGTCGTTGATCGAGAAGCGCTCGAAATATTCACAGTCACGTATTCTGAAAAGTCATCAGACGTCCGGGATTGGCCGGCTTTGAGACCATTAAGTTCTGAGAGCTCCTCTGAAATGTCGTCGTAGAATTTAGCTGTGGGCCGTACGAGTTCCGTGCCTGTAAGGTCGGTCCCTAGCACCCGCTCGGCACGTACAAGATCTTGGGCATCCTTCATCGCTGTTGCCGTGAGGAGAGTCGCGTCCAGCTGCGAGGTATGGCGCGTCGCTGAGAAGAGATCAGACAGGAACAGGGACAGCATCGGCGAGATATGTGCGCGTCGAGATGTCTCGCGGAGGGTATCAAGGAAGGACGCAGGGATGATGGCGTCGTTTGGGAAAAGCTTGTCAGGAGCCTTGTTGTTTTGTGAAAATGGTAAAGGCTTGGTGAATATTGGTGGTGTTTGTGCTTGTGGGAGGGATATTGGGTGCATGGGTGAGGGAGACGAAGGGTTCGAGTAGGAGAAGAAGTGCGGATGAGATTGGGTATGCGTTGGTGAGAATGGTAGTGAATGCAACGCGTTGCGAATACTCTGAGGGACGAAAATATCGGTAGACATGGCGAATTTATCGAGCTATAGGTGAATGTAGATATAAGAACAAGTTCTTTGAGCAGAATATAAACTCACCAAGCTCTTGTGTATAGCTGGTCGGTCTTTCTCGTTTAGTGGGCACACAAAAATCAGAATAAAGCCGTCAGGCAAATTCCAGGTTCCATCATAGTCTTCTGCATGATGCTTTCTATCACACTCATCCTCGTCGTCTTCTTTATGAGTGGTATCTCGGTTTGGGCCTTCAAGAACGATCCTGCGCTCAGCCAAGACCCTTACGAGCGATCTTTGAGTTGATAAACTAGCATTTTCCAGGCCTGATATTACCAGAGCACGGGGTACCTCCAAAAGTAACTTATTCTCCAAAGGCGACTTTCGGCTCGGCATCGGGTCAGTGTACGCATGAAGAAGATGAGGCTTCAGGGTAGACGCCGATGATAGCGGATTAGAACTCGACCCCGTAGCAGGCTCCATCTGTTGCTGTGCCGCAAAGTACCCCTGCAGTGGGGATCGCGGCGGCGAAATGCCATGGTCCTGAGTCTGAGTGGCAGCGGCCGCTAAATCACTAGGGAACGAAAATGACCGAGTGTATTCGGCAGGCTGTTCACGCAACCTCCTCTTGGATGGAAAATGCACCCGTGGCCAAAGGTGTTTGATTTTGTCAGTGGCGGTGGCTGGGCTCTCATCTTGTGACGTCTGGTTAGAGTTGGATAATGAGGAAAAGTTGGACGGCAGGAACAAGGAGCGCAAGAACGCTGTCGAGGTTGAGGCTGTCACGTCGTGATTATGATTATGACCTGGTGCGCGTGGTCGTATCTTCACCTTGTGAGTCGTGTAATTCAGGATGGTTGATAATGTCTAAAAGAGAGATGGTGTTAGTAACCTCTCTTATGACGCGACCGACGTCCAAGGAGATCAAAAGATGATAACTGATCAAGTGACAGTTTTTTCTGTTATACACGGCACGTCAGAGGGCGCGAGCTCGTGTTGGTGCACTCCAGGGGTGCTGGCCGCCACTTCAAGTTTCAAGTAGCCATGAGAGGAATGGTCGGGCGCCTCTCGGGCTCTCTCGGCGCGGTGTCTTGAATACTCCAGTAGTAATTGATACCATAGATGTCCAAACAACGGAGATAAACGTAGATGCACCCACACGAGGCTTACTTTTTTGGGGAACCAAAGATGAAGCAGCTCACCCAAACAGCGAGTTTGACAACGAGTCCGATATCCTCTTCTGGGGTACGCAGTATCAAGTGCTTGTCCCCAGCAACGATGCAAAGGAGAATGGACTGGAATATCACGGAATCTAATGGGACTGACGCCGAAGTGACATGGCTTCGAATGTGGGAGAGAACCGCTGGGAAAAACGCTGGAGTCCCAATCAGGTGTAGAGGGAGATGGTCCGACGAATGCATCAGGACTCGGATAGCTCGGTTACCAGGCCACGCCGACGGTATTTCGAAATGATTGCCAAGGGCTGCAAACTCCTGGAGACGAGTGAGTTGCCATTGATGTGAAGCAACAAAAAGATGATATGAATATAAATTCAAAGGGCTTACAAAGTGAGAGGAACGTGGTTGGAAGAGGAATCCGAGGCAAGAAGAAGAAGTGTTGCGTGGCTGATGGTAGCAGGAACGAGGCTTTCATAAATTTGGACCGTGAGCTATGGTGAGCTGGTAGAGAGGAAGGACGGAGAAAGCTCGCGAGTTGGTTGCAACTTGCTAATGATGAAAATATACAAATGGGGTATAGATTAGATATAGAGACGGATTTAGATTTCATTACCTCGGCTCGTTTCCCTTACTTTCTCGTCCGCCATCTACCAGCGCCTACCCCGCTATCAATTTCTTCCTCGTTTCGCGCAGGTCCGCCTTATCACCCCTTAACGGTCGCCCTTTTCTTTCGTCACGACCGCAACTTTCATCCACCGGTCAGCTTTCGCCGCCGTCTTTCTCCTTCGTGCGATTCTCCAAGCTGGACTCGCATGAGTTTATGGCGAACATTGTTCAGTTTTCCGTCGACAACACCTCTCCTCAAATCTCTTATTTTCCGTTTGCCGACACTTTATCCACTCCGAATCTCAGCGCAGGCTGGAATCCGTATTTCTCGTTGTCAGGCTTTGCGGGTGTTCTTGGTGAATCAGGAAATGGGACAAGCCACCATATTACGTCCCTCGATGGCGCTTCACTATCGATACACTGGCGAGGTGCGCCTATTGTTTTCTTTTCACTCTTTTTCCGCTAAAAAGTAGAAAGGTACCGGGATTCAGTTGCAAGGGAACGCTACCAATGCCAGCTACTCGTTGCTACTCGATGGGGCCGCTATTAAACCTGACGTCGTCGATTATTCGAACAGCATCCTAGCCACTATACAAGGCCTTCCAGACGTTGAGCACACCATCTCACTAACTACCCAGATACCAAGCAGTCAAGACCCACCTAATTCCTCTATTGTTGTTTTTGACCGGGCCATAATTATATCCACAATTACGAATGATACCTTCCCAGAGTGCGTGCATCCTTTGTGCCACTACATGTTTTTCAAATGTTGATCTCGTCTCCACTTTAGCGAAAATTTCACCTTACGAACATTAAATGATAACGATATCGCTTACCTTGGCCAATGGTCATTTCAGAATACCTCAGGCGTTTCATTTCACCAATCTAGCACAGTTGGCGATCGCGCTCTCGTCACTTTCAACGGTAAACACAATTCGACGAAGAGCTCAGTCAAATCTGACCCCATCGTATCTGCCCAGGGACCACCACGTTTCTTCTAAAAGGCACGACGTCGCCGACTTCAGGCAACTACACCGTCACTCTTGACAATATATCCACATCACTCTCCGGGAAATCCTCTTTTGCAGCCCACGACACTCTCCTTTTCTTTGCCTCCGATTTAGACCCGAACTCGAATCACTCCGTTGAGATCCGTAACGATGGTGGCGGAAATCTTGCATTACTCGTTGGCGGATTTAACGCCTACGCAACGGGTGCTATCCTCAAGTACGTTCTCTTTTCTTTCGTTGTAAATATCTCATCGTTCTGTTTTAAAAATAGTGATTCCATCGAAACGCCGAAATCATCCAATATTAGCACTTCTTTTCCAAAAGGAACAATTGCGGCCTTTACTCTCGCTGGCATTCTTGCCTTTCTCGGGATATCAGGGTTTCTCTTCTTCTTCCTCGTCTACAGGCCGCGAAGGCGACGACGTCGACTATCAAGGGCTGCTTTTAGATTCCGTCAACGCCCGCCGAGCAGCTACAAAGAACACGAAGCCGTCTTAGACATCGGACCTCGTGGATCAGGAGACGATGACCTTGTGATAGACGTATCTAATGCAAACAGCCTACATCGCGGTAGCAGTAAAGGCGGGTACGCTCTGTGGAAGTTGGAGGGTGCTGTTCCGACTGCAGGGACCTTGGGTGTTGATTTCAGACATTCAGACTCGTTCATGCAAGGCAAGTATGGGAGTGCGAAATACGACGAAGAACTGGCGTTCGAGGAACTGGAACCGTTCAGTGCGCGTTCGTGTCCCTCGACGAAGGGAAAGCGGAGTTTAAGAAATAAGGGTAAAGCGAAGAGAGCCACAGACGGGTCGTGGTCCCCAAGCTTTACGATTGAGCTCCCGCTCGAAGGCCCGCATTCAACGCCAGAAGGTGATCACTCGAGCGCCATACATGGGCATGGAATCGAATCGCTTTCTTACATGTCCCCTCCCAAGTCACCCACTAGAGAACCATCGCATAACCCCCCTCCACCATCCTACGCCGCCTCCGTATCGAATAGGGCCTCCAACAGATCATCCAATCCTTCCGTACCGCGCTCCATTTCCCATTCAACTGTCTCTTCCCCTGTCCCTACCCCGAAGGTGCCTTCATTACAAGACCTGCCCTATGCAGACCTCAACCCCAGGTCCACAGAAGACAATACAGTTCCACCTCCTCTTCCCGTTTACTACCCATTGGAGTCTATGTCCAGGGAAGACAGAGGCAGCATTGTTGGCTCTAGTACCGACGACCATCGGAGTATGATTGCTGGGTCCGTCGTGAATCAGGTGCTACGCAGTCTCAGCCCACGCACGAGTGTGCTTGAGATTACCCCCCCGAAGCAGCAGCAGCAGCACAAGGAGGAGAGGAAGCGCAAAAAGAAGGAGAAGGTTCTTGGTGAGGCTTCGACTCGAGGGTCTCCTTCGCCTATCCAAATACCGAAGAGAGACCACGAGCACGCATCTTCCAGTTCGCAGGAACCGACCAAAGTGAAGAGGTCGAGGAAGGGTGGTAAAAAAGTCTCCTCACGGCCATCGACTGCGAATGAGATGGTGGAAGTTCAGGATGGCGTTTTCCTGAGTGTACCAGAGACAAGTCCGTTTAGAGTGGACTTTGCTGAAAGCTCGTTAGTTATCCCCCCACGACGTGCATCTACATCCAAAAGGGACTCCAGCTTGTCCCCGGTTCGTTTTGACTTTGGACAGTCGGACGAAGGACCCAGTTCACCTCAGGAACAGCAGCAACCTGAGGAGCTTGTCCCAGCCATGAGTTCTCGTCAAGCATTCCGTCTTACGCCAGCCAGCATACATCCCCTCAACTTGGGACACTCTCTATCGAGGAATTCTACCATTGCGGAGTCCTTCATCGACTTTACATCTTCATCTGAGAACTCCTTGCGTCCGCGGTCGGGTATTTCCTCCGCCACCCGAGAACGACACTGGGACGCATCTACGATGCCTGATATGCCTGGGGATAGTAGGTCTAGATGGAGCAACACCACCATGTCGACAAGCCACGACCGGATAGGGACAGCCGGCACATTTGGACCTCCTCCCCCTCTGCTAGCTCCGCAACCTAACATGCCAGTTACTATCCCCTTCCTCCTCACCATTCCTTCCAACTCGAGTGCGGCTTCTGCAGATGGTGATGACGTTGACGACGTTGCGTCGAATGACCACAGCAGCAACTTGAACCATCAACGACAATCCCACCTTAGTGTAGGATCGCAACAACCCAGCGACGCACTGCATGTTCATCCTCGTTTTGAGAGCCTCGAATCCCCAACGGATAGCGTACGAATGTCTATTACGTCTGACCTACGCTTCAGACACAGCGACTCGCACGAGTCACGGCGTACGAGCTCTTTCACAGCTCCTATAGGGCGGGAACACGGGTACGCAGCTTTCCCGCCAGAGTTGGCTGAGCGCTTTGGGCCTCTGTCCCCAGCCATCTCTACACCTGGCTATATCGTGCAAAGAGTGCTTGGAATTCAAACTCCTACCTCGACCTCGAGCGCAGGTGTTCGCCCAGGCCATTCACGGTCTGGTTCGAGCACATTGGGTTTGTTCAATACGCCCCCGACAGCGCGGCATGATTTCAATGCTGATAGGTTCAACGATACGTTCGATCCATAGCATTGATCATGGACGGCACCCTCTACTTACTTACTCTAATTTGTCTTGAACGAACTTTCGCTTGGACGTTTCACGCTTCATTATGATGGTTGTGCCTGTATTATATCTACTGATCTAGCACGACTAATGTCCCTTTAACCAAGTCCATGAAATACCGTGGCTTACGAGGGTGCCATTGAATCTTTCCTCAGACCAAAGCTGACAAACCGACGGAAGTCGGAAAAGACCTCTCGTTTTTGGTCTCCAGGACGACCTTCCCCAATCGTGGATCCCGTGGACGGACCACTAGGTGTTGGCGTGGCAAGACTGGCAAAGATACTCTCACCCGCCAAAGGCAGTGATATCCTACTGCCGGCCGGACTGATCAGACTTCCACCGACATACCCGGCAGCAGGTGGATCCATGTCAAGTGATGACAGGAAAGAGGTACTCTCTAAATCCGTTTTGGTGCTGGTGATCGTCAGGAAGGAATCAAGAAGGTTGTTTTGGACTGCCTTCGGCGTTCCTTTTAGGTCCAAGATCTAGATCAAAAGGACATTGGCACAGACAAGATGCGTAGATGAGCGCCCTTTAACAAACCTTTTGGAAATTTGAAAAGGAGGCGTCTCCAATCAAAAGAGTGTAATTCAATATGAAACCTTCGGGAGGGTCCTACCCACCGCATATATTAATAGCGTTATCAACGGAGGAATGTAGAACGAACCACTGGGGTAACAATAACTTTGAGCAATGCCTCAAGTCGAGTCGTCGTCTTGGTCATTGCTCGGGTATATCTAAATTATAAGAATCTTTGAGAATCTATGAGTTCAAGGGGGTGAAGGAAGGAAACATACGTGCTGGTAATCAAGGCCTCGCCGGGCATCTTTGTCAAATATGCCTTGACCGTTTGTAGGTCAATGAGAAGCTGCAACAGAATGAAGTTAGATTCTTCTCGACTCCAGCGATCGATGCTCTTGCCTGTTCAGCACCAATCTCCTTCAGCGGCCGGCTTCGCACGAGTGAGTTCGTAAACTTGACCAATATCACACTATCGCAGCTCTTCAAATTTGACACAAGGAGTTATATTATGTCACCTTACCTACAAGCTTTGTCGAAGAAGTTACGCAGATACTTCTTCTGCTCGACAAGAGGCTTGATCAGTTCCACAACTTGCTCCGCGGCTTTCACTAGGTCGTCACTATAAGGAGATTGTCCGCTAACTTGATTGACGCTTGACCAGATCGAGCGTGACATCGTTGTAAAACAAGGGTCGCAAGCAGCCTCAAATTCTCGCAAAAGAGCAGCAATAGCCGTCGAGATGGAACTGCAAGGCGAGAAAACATTGAACGAGAGAAGGGAGAGAGTATGGGAAGGGAGGATGAACCTGACGAATAGATCACATTCCACTTGGAAGGTGATCTTTTCCTTAAACTCGCTGTTGATCTTTTCGCAATACTTCTTCTCAAGCTACGGATCGGCGGTCAGCCATTGAAATGAAACAGTTATGAGGAGTAGAGTCACCTCAAGGGCCGTCGTCTGGCAGTAATCAGCAGTGTTGATAAGTAGACACGACTGTTTTAGGCTTTCTACATCAACACGGCTATCTGTAGACATGCGAACAACAGCAGTTATAGGTCTACAATGGAAGGGAGATAATTAACGGCGTGACCTTTGCGAGAATAGAAAGAAAAACCTCACCTTTTCGCATTGGCAGCGAGCACTTCATCTGTAGACAATAAAAAAAATGTCAGATAGAGGGGCAGGTCAAACAAAACACCCCACTTACCTGCGTATATGTGCAACCACTTCTTATGCAATGTTGCTAGCTCAAACAAAGGCTGCCCAGTCGACAGTTTCGCACATTGTTCCAGACTTTGTGCGTAGAAATAGAAAAGCTCCGTCGACGAAGGAAGAACAACGGGAGGAGGCGAGATGTTGTCTTCGTTGCCACCTTGTGAAGAATCTACAGACGCACGAGGTTGAGGTTTATTTGACTTCCCTTTACGGTGCGGGGCAAGCATGTCTGCGAGGACCCTGAAAATTCGCGAGAATTAGGATCGAGAGCTCAGGTATACCAATTGACGCACTTATCTTGAGCATCAATGAAGATGCTCATCTGAGGCTCGAAAGCAGAGGTGATCGTTCGTCCAGGCTGGGAATGACTGGCGTCAGTTGCTTTCAGAATGTCTTGAAACTTAAATTTATGAGGTGAGATGTCGGCTTGCTAAGAGGATCACAGTGCTCACGGGAGTTGCCCATTTCTTAGCAATAGAGGCTTCAAACTCAGTTGTGATTTGTAGGTTATCCAGCAGGGCCTTCACGGTCAAAGATGAACCGGTTTTCGTCAAAAGTGTGGTAACGTGATCCCTGGTACGGAAATGAAGTCTCAGAATGATTATTTTGAAGGGTGTCACATACCCGGTTGTCTCTGCGAATTTTGCCAGGAGATGCCAACTAACTCTCCACTCCGATGGGAAGGCTCTACCCTGTTCAATTTCGTGACTCTGCAATAGTCGACGAAACCACGCGAATCGTCTTGAAAGGTTATCCAACTGTCCAGCTTCATCGTTTGTTCGGAAGATTCGACGGTATTCCTTCAGTTCAAGTGCCACATAACGATCTATGACATGGGCCCGAACATCGGGACCTATGACGTCCACGACTAGACAAGCTTCCGATATAGTGCTTGTCTTGATCTGCTTGGTTGAATCCTGTACAAAGCTGGTGGCGTATGTTAGTTTGAGTGGTTATTCACCAAGACAGAGACCTACAAAGCGTCGAAATCCTGATCCAGTTGGGTGCGAAGTTTCATCTGTACGTCTTTGATGTGCTTCCATACACGCGCTATTGACGGAACGGATTTATAGTCCTTGAAAGATTCTGCAATTTCCTTGACGGCCTGGGGTGATTCACGTTAAGGTAAGTATGTGGTAACGTAGGCTGGCACTGACCAACAAGGTTTGGGACACCTCGCCGTACTTCCTCTCCTGAATAAGTTCATCAAGCTGAGTGAGCGCATTGACTAATAAAAGTGTTAGAAACGTCGAGTCGGGATGATACCACCTACTCAGCATTTGCAGCCTTTTCATTGCCGTCATACTTGATATAAGATTCTTCTTTGCCAAATCCAGGACTTGGATATCCTTTGTGATGTTTCTGACGACCGCTTCTGACTCGGTTGCCTTTTCTCTGATCCGTGACATTTGGCCTAACAAGTCCTTGAATTAGAACCGTCATTTGGCAAATTAAGGGGGAGAAACGTTCGAGTACGCACAGAAATCATCTCCTGTATCATTGTCATCCTCTCTGGATCTTGATTCGCTTTCAAGTCGGCCTGCAGGAGGTCAATCTCCTTCTGGAGCTCGGCTTGCGTTTCGGCCAGTTGGGTATTTACGACTTCGATATGAGCCAAGGACGCCTCTGGTGTTGTTGAGCATTCACATTATTCAGAACCGAGATGTTTCGCGCACCATCAGGAAAGAAGTTGTTGAGTATATTTACCGCGGTGAAGTTCTCGGTTAGGCCGTCGAGAGGATCCACTTCCTGGGTAGGGTTAATCTCAAGGACGCGTTGAATTGACAGTATGACTTCATGGGGTAGGTCGTCGCAGTACATATTGCGCAAAAGTTTCGCAGAAACGCGGGAAGTCTGCTTGTGCGTGGCCCCGTGAACGTTTCTGACGATGACCTCCTTGTGATGGATTATTTACCTCACTATTTTGTAAATTGGTAAAAATAAATACTTAGCTAAGTAACTAGAAGTACTTATGTCGAACGTTTTACTCACCTTTGGGCTGAAATATGAGAGGGGCAGGGACGGCTTTCCCCGGATTTCCGAAACGAGACATGAAATCAGACCCTGGAGCTATTTTGAGCCTTGTTTGCCATCGCCCTCCAGGGCGGCGTCGGCTATCGGCCTTGTTCGGGTCCTCGTCACAATCGTTACAATAATAGATCTGATCGTTTACACCTACTATAGATTAAAGGTTGACGACTCCCAGCCAAACGTTGAGCATCGCAAACCTGCTTCCACTCTGCTGGCAAAGCCCCGGCCTCCACCGCTTCCAAACTTCCAAGGCCCCGCCGAATTGACAGATGGCGCAAAGGCAGCCAAGAAGACAGTGAAAGGCGCAGCGCTGGCTGATGGAGAAGAAGAAGCGAGAGATACAAGGTGCGTAGCGCGCCTCACCCGATACACTGATTACCTCCTCTTTATTCCTTAAACGGGTCCACCCCGTCGCTTGTATCTCCAACAACGAGCTTAGTGAGAAGCGACCTCTTTGGAACACATTGCGTTGACTCCTCAAACAGGTCCAATCGAACACTCGTATCTCCAACAAGGTAATGGCTAACGAGACAATGTCAGTCGACCACGGCAAGGCCATTGAGACTGCGCTTGGCTCTGTGGATAGCTTCCTTTTCTCCAGCGAGCTTGGTTGCCTGTCTGATAACAAGGTGAGCAGCTGATCTTCAATAAATGTCATTCTATTGCAAATGAGCTCGCTTTTACAGCAAGCACACAATGGCCAGTCGAAGAAGAGCATGTGCAAGAGGCATATTGTCAGGCTTATCACGGAGATGCGAGTAGCGTCAGCACCGGCTCTTTGGGCTGTACAGCTGCTCTGGAGGTTGGTGCGCCACAACTAAGGTTTGTTCCAGATAATGATGGATTTTGTTTTGTAGGTATCAAATCAACTCAATCCAGGGGGAGGCGGGATCAAGATGCAGCTCATGAGTCTTGCAATGGCGGAGGCGACGAGGTTGTTTGGCAAAGTGTGGAGGTGCGGCGTCGGGTAACAGCCAGGGCTTTCTTCCTTTCTCGCATCGCTGACAATGTGTGTGTAGAGTTCTCGTCAGTAGGCGCGCATCCACTGCTGGCAGAGTGCTGGCCTCCACCGCTTCCAAGGCCGAAATCGACAGTGGCAACTAAGAAAACAGCGAGGAAAGTTACTCCTCTTACATCTACAAGGGTGTGTGTTTCAACCAATACATATAATTCCTCTTCTTCGGCCCTTGGACAGGTCCACCCTGACACTGGTATCTCCAAAAAGGCGATGGCTATCCTTAAAAGCTTCGTGAACAATATCTTCAAACACATTGCTACTGAACCTTCCAGTACATGCCATGTAGGTCTTCGTCTCTCACATTCTGTATTTATGTTAATTACCTCCATCAATTTTGTATTACAGGATCAAATCAAGTCTTGAGCAGCATAATGAGAGCATCGACTCCGTTCTGGTCTCCTTGCTTCTGGCGCCGTAACGTGAACCAACCAAGTTTTTTATTGTCCAATATAATCATTAACCAGGTGTCCGTAAAACTTATTTAGTGTCCATAGATTTGACTAGGATGTCCGTAAATTCATGATAAAGCTATGGGCATGGAGGAAATTGGGGTGTTTGGGGCAAGGGAATGTGTCCGTCGTAATTACTGAATGACCGAAATTCATGCATCAAATTCAGAGTGTGAGTCCTCCCTTTCTTCGGAGTTGTCTCGTTCCTCAGGCGTGCCGCGTTTGCTAACGCGCCGCTTGTTGTGTGCGACTCTGATAGCCTTGAGGAGCGCCTTCACCGATTTGTCGGCCACCGGGTAAGTCTCACAGAAGCGAGCATCGTCACGGCCCAAGCTGATGAGATTAATGTGTTTTCAGCTTTCAGATGTGCATGCGAGCCGATGAAGAAATCACACACCGTTCATATTCGTTAGCGATCATCTTTCTCTGGGAATACAAGGAGCCGGTAAACCTTTTCATCCCACCCTGATACCACTCCTTTGGCCAATCTTTCAGAGCCATTACCGATGCATCACCAAGCTCCCACTGCTGAACTACGTCACGCCAATTCTTCACATCAGGGATCACCACACCAGGAATGGGAAAATTCAGGCTGTCCGAGGGGCTTTGAGTTTGGGCATCTCCTGCCAGGCTATCGACATCAGAGTGGCTGGGTATGCTCGAGGTACGGCGGTTTGGCGCATGTGCAGAGTACGGATTGGAAGAGTGGCGAGCACTGTGACCACGGCGCAGCGAAGATCGCTCCTGAGGCATTGGCTCTCCCACACTCATTGACGGAGGGGATTCCAGATTAGGCTCAGGGCTGGGAGATGCAGAAAGGCGAGTTTCGGACAAGGCAGCTGTGACCTGACCGACAATCTCAGAAACAGCGTTTCCGAGAGAACGATCCATCGAGATTTTCCACTGCCGGATTTCCTCAGTAGAGGGTGGCGCCTGGTTGATGTGTTCGCCCATGAAGCTTTTATCGGCCTCCGCTGCGATTGGGCACAATGCGTTTCCGTGACCTGTCTCATAGCTTTGGAGTGAATCTACAAGGTATTTTATCATTGTGTCGACCTTTCGAAATTTGACGTAAATCAGTGACAAACACGCTAAGTATGATATCACAGAAATCTACCTGTTCGCCTTTGGCCCACCCACCCCACCATCGAATAATACTCAAAGACCAGCGACGGCCAATCGGTGCATACATGAACCGATATTGAGCGCCACCTCTTCGGAAGCAATGCGTCGTGTAGGTCTTCGTCAGGCCAGCACCGGCCACGAACTCGCTGAGGTGCTTCTGGAACGTGTCATATGACATAGTGCGCTTCGGATCAATGGTGCCATTATGCGAGATATGGGGGAAGATAAAGTCACTAGACTCGAGACTACGGCCGAGGCGGCCCTCCAAATATTTCAACCAGCGTTGGAGGTGAGTAAACATGTCCATTGCACCGATATCTTGCTGATAGATCTTATAAATGCCACCTAGTCAACAAAAAATCCCTAAAGTTAGCTTTGGACAACGTCGGAACAATGATTTACACACTTGTGCGTGGACCATCATAGCCCGCTTGCTTCTGCCAATTCTTACGCTCTTCAAGCCGGACCTCAAAATAAGGGAAGTGGTATGGTGCAGGTCCCTTCAAGCCCATCGTAAGATCGCCATACTGTAGAGAGAGGCCTTCGAAAACCCTAAAAGGTGATATCAAGCTAAATTCCCAAATTGGACATGTGTAAACTCTCATACGGTCATACCTTAGCATCAACACGAACAGCGTTGGATACAACGCCCGCATGAGGCCATGCAGGGCGACGGACTCAGGATTGGATGGCACGTTATCAAATAGTTCATTGGGGCATCTTCCCTCTGACCAGTCCATAATTTTTTGCAGGTCCTCGAGTGACATGGCCTCGGCATGCTTCCGTGTTGCAGCTGCCCCCTTTGTAGCTGCCCTAGTTTTCACCGCTTTCATCAAATCGTGGATAGCTGGAGCTCGAGCTGGACATCCAGAGACCTTCCCAGTGGTTTCATCCAGGGAATAGGCACCAGCATAGGTCTGTCCCTCCCTGCAGGTTTGTTTCAGTAACGGAAAAGTGGGAGATTGTCAATTGATGGTCTTGAACGCTCACATTTTATCCCAGTAGTCTGCAAATGCTCCTTGGATTCCTTCTGCGGAGCTTTTCGACAGTTCCTCCGTGAATACTTTTTGAACAAGGAAGAACTCGAGTGCAACAGCGGAGTAACGGTTTGGCGGCTTGTCGAAAGCTTTCGCAAGCTCAATGGTAGGGATTCCCTTGTCACAAATCTCAATGCCTTTGAACTCCCTCTCTGCGACGATATCAGCCAGAAACTTTCGTCCCCGGGCAATGTGTCCAGCATACACCTTGTTTGTATTTTTGGACTTGCCATATTCGACCAAACGGGCATCGCGAATGTTTTGCAGGGTCTCGAAGTCAGCCGTTTTGGCTTTGGTCTTCCTCTCCTTTGATTTTTTCACGCTGTGGTTGCTGCCCATGGTGTGTGCTGTCAGTTTGAGGTGGATGAGTGATAGACGTAGCGGTGTCTAGGTCTCATAGCGGTGTCTAGGTCTCTTCCCTGTTTCAAGACAAACGGAGCCGAAAAGGGGGAACCTATTTTTTTGCTACCAAATTTCAAGATCTGTACGTGGTATGTCTGTACAGCAGAAGTGTATCTACAAAATAGATAACTATTGCCGTGGCATGCCGATTTTTGTTGTAGTTGTGTAAAGAAGTCCATAAGATAGAACATGTCCGTGACAGATAATAAAAATGTGCATGATAGAACCTTTCAATCAATGTAAATAGCATTGTCTAGTGAGCTACCAAGTGTGGCATGATGCTCAGCAACGAGCGCAATGCTATGCCCAGCAGTGGGCACCACGTTAAGCCCAGAGATGGGTGCCATGATACCCCTAGCAACGGCGGCAGTGGAAGCTCCCCCATGCGCAGCGATGGGGCCGACCCTATGGTCAGTGCTAGGCCCAGCAACAGGTGCCGTGTCATGCCCAGCGATGGCAGCAGTGGGAAAAAGCTTCGGGAATATCTGGAATGATAAAAACATCTAGAATAAACGATGAAATAGGCTCAGAGAGGATCACGTACAGCTTTGTAGGTTGAAGACACAGCGAGGCTGGGCTTGTTCTTACTCTTTTGTGCCTTCTGGTAGCGTGCGACGAGGGCTGGCAGTGCTTGCTCAAGAATGGAGCAGGGCACCCATACCATCATTCTCCCCAGCAAAATTTTTGTCTTCTTTGTAGCGGACTTTGTGGTAGCTTCGGTGAACGTTCGAAGACCTCGAAGACCAGAGAGCGTGGCCGTAGAGAGGTGGCCTGTTTGAACTTCCACAGTATAACCTGGAACTGCTTTCTTTTCGGCCTTCTGCTGTCGAACGATGCGAAGGATGGACGAGAGAGCAAACGTCCCTTCAGCAATAGTTTGGGCAAAATGCGCCGTAAGCATTGCAGTAGGATCAACATTGGCTTCCTGATTTCTCATTAGCAAATATCAAAGTGAAGAGATAATGTGATGACGAACCTCAACCAGTCGATAAAGAGTCATGCCGGGCCAAACATGTTCTTGGAAGCATGAAAGGATACCGTCTGAAGTGCCCCAGGTGAACGAGCGCTCACAGAGCGCAGCTAGTTTGGTGAGGTTGACTTCTCGAGGTACCCATGCAGCTGTATTGGGTAGTTTCTGGCCGGGGGACCATGATGTGATGGGATTGACATAAAGGGCAAGGATTCTGGGGTCGGGGAATGTATTGGGTACACTGTTTGAAAGGGCAACCTGGCGTCTAGAGAGATGACCAGCGTCATTGTACCGAAGCGCCATGCGTAAGCGATTGCGCCATTTCTCAAGAGACCGTTCCAGTTCCGGTGGCGGGCAGGTCTTCGTGGCATGCAGTAGTTCGTCACCAAAGCCAGCACGAGCAAGGCTGTACGCCGTTGTCATACCACAGCCCTGCAATCCAACCTAGGCTGAATTAGTCACAGAAAAGGGAATTACGGCAACTGCTGGCTCACCGGATCGTAGTCACCTCCACTGAGTATCGCGAGTAATAGAATTCCACCACTTGTGAGGGACAAGGTCGAACAGATGGCGTCAGCCGTGTAGATATTGATGTTATCACCATCTTCTTTGACATTGGGGCTGGGAATGGCTATGGAATTGTTCGAAAGGATATTGAGGTGAAGACTTACTTCCGAATGAGATGAGTTGCTCCAAAAAGGAGCGTATCCGCATCGTCGCTTAAGACGGCATCAATAATCCCGTGAGAGTTGAGGACCGCCAGTTCTGCTTCTGCCTCTGCGGGTGCCTAAAAGTGGGCCTCGATTAGTCTCAAGGAGAAGTAAGTCAGGAGATGAGCTCAACGGTATGGAAACTATAGCCATATTGCTCAATGAACTCCTGGAACGAGCTCGTCAGCGCATGTGCCTTGGTGCAAACATTGACGCCTCGTTTAATCGACGGACGGTGTTCTCCATCAAAAACGAAAACAAGGTGGATTGGGAGCTTGCGGAAGCACGCGAGGCGATAGAAAAGGGTTCGGAGCTCGGGGTTTTCACCAGCCTGGTAATGCATGCCCGGTACATGGAAGATCGACTGTGTCTGGTTCAGCCAAATGCTGACAGTGACTGGATTAGCTTCCCTCATGAATAGATGAGATATAAATGTTATACCTTGCGTCAACACCAATCATGAGGGTCCGAGCTCCACGCCGATTTGCCTCAAACCCTTCTAAAACTGTGAGCTCAGTGAAAGGGCGTGATTGCTTTGCTTTCAGCAGAATCTGATAAAGACAATCAGTTTTGGGGGGACCACAAAAGATTTGAGTGTCGTACATTCCAGATGCCAGGGATACCCATAATTTCTAAGAGGCCTAGAGAAGGGAGGACGGAGGAAAATGTCGAAGATGTAACCTCCTAATTACGGACTCTCCTTTCCGAAAGTTTTCGACTTGGCAACATTGTATAGTTGAGAATGAAGCGGGTCCGTGAATGAGCAGCAGAGATGGTGTTGTGGCATGGTGCAGATGGTGAACAACTGCAGCCCCAGTTATTTCTGCCTGGCCTAAGCAGCAGCTGCTCGCTCGCTGGCGCTCGGATATACCAAAGCGACATAGACGAGGCGAGCAGCATGCAGCATGCACACACTGGGCAGAAAAAGATAGACAAAGAGAAAACGGGTGGCGAACGAACGCTCAACGATGAGTCACATGCTTTTGTGCCTCACGTGTCAACTACGCGTCGTAAACTACGTGTTGTAAACTTCGCGTCGGACTCGCGCTCGACTACATACAGATAAAAATGTATGGTAGAATAAACAACATGTGTGGGCAAGGACAACTATATAAACAAATCAGTCTACTATGGTGCTATCAAGTCATCAAACATTAGGAAGAACACAGTTTTCTATGTAGTCCTATGGTGTAAAGTCCAAATATGAATGCATAAGTGCACCTAAGGACTTATTTCTGAGAGATTTACCAGTAAATCCAGTGGATTTACTGGATTTACTGAGTGATGGCTTGGCCGCTCCCAGCCGATTTACATTTGCTCGCTTCCCTGGCGCTCCCCATCTTTTGGATCCCTTGCTCAGTCTCCGAGTGATATCGAGTACGTGTTGATACTGGCCACAATCCTGCGTGTTTTTTGTGCATCTTCGTTGAGTGATATGCCTTTCAGTGTTGCGTTGATACCTTTCTTTTCAATATCCTCCAGGAGAATGTTAATCCTTTCTACGGAGGCAAGTTTTATTGAATTCAGGTTATCTTAGCAACAGCTCATTACAGTGTAAAAGTCTTCTACTTAATCGTTGTCTGTTCGGTTCGATTCATTCTGCACTGGAGTTGTCGGAGCGACAGCTGATCTCGCCAAGTATAACTGCTGTAATTAAGCTGGAGGAGATTAGAGGAGATTGCCACCATCGTTCCAGGGCTATCTCAGGGCACAGGGGCATCTATGACAACCTCGGGAGACCCTCGTCTATGGCCCCCACACGAGCTCCTTTGAGCACAGGTAACCACTGAACTCATTAACCAAGCTGACGAAACCCTCCCGCTACCCCCCCCAATCGACCAGTTGCACTTGGGATGCGTATACTGGAGACAGGCAGATCAGATATGCAACAAGCCCATTTACCAAAGTTCAGCGTCCCTTTCACGATTGCCGCGCTGCTCGCCTGCAGCTTCTGGAGCAGCTTGCTGTGCTTACCTGGTGTGAAAATGTAACCTGGGTGGATAAAACATTAGCAAGATGCCAAACTAGTTCGGTCCCATGCAATGCTCACTTCTATCACTAGCACGATGCTCGTTATCCTTTTGAACAAGCTCGCCCCTTCCTGTGCCGCCTGCTTTGGAGCTGGGTCCTGCTGTTTGGTCATCTTGGGCTCCTCGCTGGATGCTCCAGTCAAATACGTAGTCGTACTGGTACTCCTCGTGCACGAAGAGTTCACGGAAGAGTTTGTGAAGATAGGAGTAGTCAGGTTGGTCGTCGAAGCGAAGAGCACGAGTGTAGTCTAAGAAAATCTCAAACTCGTTTGGGAATCCATGGCAGAGAAGGTCGGTGGGGGTATTTCTGCTTCTTGTGGCAACTTTTAGACCCTGTCAAGGAAGAACTGCATGGAGGAAGTACATTAGGACATAAGCAAGAGATTTGAAGTCATCACGACGTACTTGCTCAACACCTAAATGGGTGTTGACCGATGGATGTGCACCGCGCAGTACCCGTCAAGTCCTTGTTCTCTCTGTACGGAATGTGGAGGTGGGTCTTGGGGTCACAGAACTTCTTGGCGAGACCAAAAGCGAAGGCATTGAATTCATTACCGCGCTTTCCAATGCCCATCAGAAAGTTATCTGGCTTGATATCAAAATTGCGACGTATGAAGTTGCGTGAGTGGATATCCCATCCCAGAGGATCAGCGAAGACTAGAAATATGGAGAAAGACACGCACAAGGTGGTCGGTGCGTAAAAGAACAGTGGACTCAGGCTCAAGCGCTCAAGACCTGAGTCCACGTGATACAATCTACGCAAATGCGCCAACCGTAAACGTTCAAACGCTCAAGCTAGCGCTCAAGGACTCTAACCGCTCCACAAAAACATTTTGTTCTTACGAATTCACGTCTCTGGTGTATGTGTGGCCGTGTAGCCGAAGAGCGCTGTCCCTTCAACCCTGCCCCTGAAACCAACCTTCAGGGAACGCTCGCTTCACCGTCAATGCCCAAGATCGCCACGCTTTTTGCAACACTTCGACAATCCGGAAACATCCTCGATTTACTTGGTTTTACAGCTATTATCATAAAACCTTCCGAATATCCTTACTTTATTAGGAAGGTAATGGTGGGGGGTGTCAGGCGGAACCCTGAAAAAAAAATAACGAGTGTTGGTCTCTTTTCCACATTCCGCCACCCCCTTGCTACAAATACCAGAATTTCTTTTCCTAAATTTCCACTCGTAAATCGAAGAAATCTTTGAGGTTGGAAAAGCTGC